ATATAAATAATTTATAATCACGAGCTAAATAAGGGTTTTTAATTAAATTTTTTCCAATTGAATAAATTGAGCGATAGACTTTGACTTCGATTCGCCCAATTTTTCCTCGAGATTTTCTTTAAAAGGTATTTTCACAACGTAACTGCCGTCGTCACGTCTTGAGGTTGTATTCTGAAAAAACTCTATATAATTTTGATCTTCCTGTGACATATTTAAGGGTTCATGAATATCTTCCACTTCCCAAAACCTTTGGATATCGTTATTAAGGATTATATTACACTGATAGGTTTTATAATTACCGGTTATTATCCATCCCAACTGCGTTTCTTGCGCAATCGAAAACCTTTCTTGAAATCTACAAATACCGTCCAAGATAATATCAGAATAAACATCAGCGCCGAATAAGATATCAATAGGGCTACTTTTATAAAATTCTGAATCAGCTAATTTTATATGATTAAGCTCAGGCCAATTTGGTTTTGGCAGGGTATAGCTCGGTAAATTTCTTACAAGTTTTTTCATAATAAATACATCCGTGTTAAAGGTATAATCATTGACTAACGATAAACACTTGATCGAGATTTTGCCCTTGCAATTGTTTTCTGTATTTCCTATCCCAGAAATATAACCATTACATTTTTGTCGAGGTATTTTTAATAACACTGGCCTACAACCATTTTGGTGCCGGGGATTTTAGACCTGATTATAAGCATGTCTTACATGGTGAAATCAAAAATGTAATTAGTTTTTTTCTATCAGCTCTAGTTTTCGAGATACATAAAAAAAACATTTTTTACAAAAAATATATATTTTTATGGCATTAAACATCAAGAAATTGTCTTTTGAGCGATTTTCTCGAATTAAATTGACTTGGGCAATCTCGCATGATTCCCTTACAGTAGTCGGCCATCATATGAGTGTCCCATCTTCCTTGGTATCTGTTCTCCATTGTTTTTATGTCTCGGTAATCTCGTTCTCCTTGTTCTTCGCTTAGGTCTCCTAAATTGTGTTGGAATTGATCTAGATTACTGTTGAGATAGTGAAAACTTCATACTTATATTACAGCCTAAATCGTTGAATCGAACCAGCATATCTTCTACTAATTTTACATAGTTGTCACAGCCTTATGATTTCCGAGAAAATTCTATACAACTGCTACAAAAGATTTCCACGCAAGCCGTACTACATCATTCATAGAAGTCTCAAATTTTGTGGTATCTTTTATCAATTGACGTATTTTCATCAAAGAAACCTGCTTTTAGTTTTTCAGTACTTAAACCAGGAAACTTTTGTGAAGAATGATTTTTTCTCTTGAAACCAAGGGTTAATTTATAACATTTCTTTACACATTTTAGGAGAACTGCTTTCATACTTCGTTTATTTATTTATTGTAGTAGTTTTCATTGGACTGATAAAACGGCAAACTCATGAATGTCAGCACACCACTGACAATACAGCAATATACAACTATTTCTTTAGATGAAAAGAACTGCAATAAGTTTTGTTCTCTCGTACGATATGTACACACTCGAATGTCTGAAGAAAGGCATTTTTTTTCTTTTAATCTTGAAGCTAGTAACTCAGCACGTTCCATCGACAGCAGGAAATCCGTGTAATGGAGTGGCCTTCCATGAGCCCTGACCTAAATCCAATTGAACACATTTGGGACTTGCTTGACAGGCGCATCCGGAAGCGTCCGATTGCACCTCAAACACTGCAGCAGCTCACTGAAGCGTTGATTGAAGAATGGAAGCGAATTCCACAAGAAGATATTCGGAGGATCATACGAAGCATGCCGCGTCGTTGTCAAGCCGTGATTAGGGCTCATGGAGGCCACACACGTTACTGAAAGTCACTAAAGACGAATATTCAAACGATATAAGAATATTTCTTTGATGGACCTTTTTTATCACCAATTAGTTTTTCGTCTACAATGCACATTTTAATTTTTTTTAATAAAAAAAATACAAATTGAATTTTTTTATTAATTGTAGTAATTAACAAATTAACAAGGTAAAAAATTGCGTACAAGTTAATTTAAATCTAATTTTAGTTTAAGCAATAGAAAGGAGAAAAATCTTGTTCCGCTAATTGTTTTGAGCAGTATATAAAGGTATGGGACAGGTCACTTATTTGGCGAAAGGAAACGACGTGGTTCAAACTCGGAGATATTTATTTGATTATATAGCAATATTTGACATACAGTACTTTGAACTTAAGCACCGCTCAAGCACCAGCAGGCGTTTCGACAGAGACACCGTACTACCACTTGAGTAGTGATTTTATTTGCGAGGATTGCAGTGGTAGGTGATCAATTGCTTGAAGGCAGCCAACCAAGTACAATACTTGCTCCTAACATTAGTCAAAGAGTGAAATTTTACATTAGGCTTATACGGATTCTACGTCGAACAAACGATAGCGCGATTTATTTCGATCCCAGCGCCATCTATGAACAACTTTTGGTACTAAACTTCTGTATGGCGCTGGGCTTGTGAAGATTGCGCGTGTATTGGATAGGTAGGTCCTTCTGCTTGTTACTTAGGGTACTACAAATTCCATTCAATTGCTTTTATTAAACATCTGTTCGCGATTACATTTTACTTAGATATTGGATATAATTAGATAGTGTATATGTTAAAGACTATATTTTTGACTATTCCAGTTGCACATTCTGATTTAAGGTTTTTTATTATGGAAGATATTTCACTGGGTTCTGTGTCAACAATTCCTATTGATGTTAATTGCGTCTTATTGCTAGAGTGGGAGCCGAAGTTACTAGGGGTGTATGGAAGTTCATTTGCTATTATTTGACCTATACTTGCAAAATAGTTATTTATATGGCTTTATTTGCATAAGCTCTGGGTTATTGCTTTTTGTTTTGTTTAGAATATATTTTCGCTTCAGCTTTTTAATTAAATTGTTGCAGTAGTTACGGTAACGTCTGTATGTTAGCTGGAAGATTTCGTTTTGGGAGTCTGTTTTGAGTTGGGATTGGAGTTTCTTCCTGTGTCTTATGCATTTCAGAACACCGGGTGTAATCCAGGGCTTAATACAACGCTTGGTTTTTGGGATAGTTTTTGTTTAAGTGTTAGCCTTAAGAATCTATGTAATAATATCAGTAAGTTTTTGCGTTAAATTATTGGGATCATCTATGTGGTTAATAGATGAGAGAGGTCGGTTTGCGTCGGGGTGGATAGCGCACTATCATAGTCGGTTATGGTATTATATTTACTAACTTTGGTTGAAGTCGTGTGTTTGTGTATATATAAGAACACAGATGAGTGATCAGTAACGGTGGTTTTTAGAACGGCCACTTTTGCAGAAAAAACATTTAGGGTCAAAGTTAAGCATAGCATGATCTAAACAGTATTTGTCTCTGGTTGGTAAGCAGTGTCCTGGAATCAACCCTAATCCTGAAAGGTGTGTTAGATAGTCATTACCGTCCGTGTCAGTAGATTCATCTAAAATGTTTACATTAATATCGCCTAGTATTATAGTGTTTTAAGTCAAGGTTATCTTCTAGGTATTTAGTCACTGATTCTGTAAATTTTAAGGACTTTTAGGACGCGGAGCGCAAGTAAACACTGTTGTCGCTAATGCCTTGATCACACGTACCGAGCAAACCGGCGAGACAGTACTCTCGGTCGAGTACTCGGTACGTATAAACATAGCGCCGAGTGCTCGGCCGAGCGCTCTATTGAGACTACAATTCGGACAAGATGGATCGTAAAAAGATACTTAGAAAATATACAAAGTTACTCATTCCTTAGAAAATTACTTATTAGAAATTTTCATTAGGAAATATAAAAAATTATCCCTAGGGGACATATTTTAACAATGTTATAGATATTTTCATCGATAACAACAGTAGAAATCTCCCAAATGTTTGGTGAACTGGTATTTTTTCATGATATTTGGGCCGAAAACTACTCTCCCTGATATTATATCAGGAAGAGTTGATTATTTATTAATTTATGACCGGAAATATAAAAATAAATTGGCCTCTTTAGAATTTTTGATAAATATTGAAATTCTAAACTGATAAGTATAATACATTCAACGACGGCAAAAAATAAAAAAAAATAACAAAAAAAAATAAAAATAGGGGATCAAGTGTCCCCAGTCCAGTGTGTCATGTGGCCGAGTGGCGAGCGGCGAGACAGTGTACGTTCAAACCTGCCGAGTGAGTGAGCGAGACAGTGAGGGGAAGCGGGAGGGTAGTTACTCGGTCTAGTAGTAAGTAGAACGGCGGCCGAGCTATTGTCTCACAATTTTTTTCGGTCGAGCGCTCGGCCGTGCACTCGGCGCTATGTTTATACGTACCGAGTACTCGACCAAGAGTACTGTCTCGCCGGTTTGCTCGGTACGTGTGATCAAGGCATTAGGGTTGCGATTTTCGAATTTGTGGGTAGACTTAATAGATGCGGCTAAAAACGAGACCAGATTTTCTATCGTTAAGTTAGGGTTAGTTTCTGCAGTGCGCGCTTGTTTTCACTCATACAGAAAAACACGATTTGGACCATAAGTTCTCCGCTTAACCATTTTACTAAGCGTAAACGCAACCACGAACGACGCATGACATAATTTATGATATAAACTTTTTTAACGTCGAGTTAATAACTTCGTGGGGAATTTGCGCGTAGTTCACTTTTTGCAGACACAAGGACCTGAACTCTTTAACGAAATTACCCGTCAGTAGCCCACTCGTTTAGCCAGGCTTTTGGGTCACATCTTAGGCAATTAGAAAGAGAAAACGAGGGAAGAACTCATAAACTAAACTAAATCCAAACTGGTTTGGGGATAGTAACCCTTTACTCTCAATAAACCATTCTAGTCTATTTTTAAGTTTTAGAACTTCAGTTATTTTGAAAATAACTAAGCTAATGCAATTGGTCTGTATGATGATGGATCATTAATCTGTTTGTTGGGCTTATGTATTGGAATAACTTTATGGATTTTCCATGATGGAGGAATATTACCTGATGTTAAGATTGAATTAATTAAACTGAGAAAATAAGAAAGGCAGGAGTCATTTGGATGATGAGATCCTTTGTTATTATTTCTGACAAATCATTGTAATTTTTGAGACATCCTGTCGAAAAGGAAGGAATGTTGCTGTAATCTTGGATAAGCTCTGCATGCGCTTTTTGATCATATCCTTTACTAGAATTTCTGGGACGAGCTTTGGGTTTCATGAATACTGTTTTCCTCAATGACTGTATGGGAGTCTTAGAAGGGCTTGTTAAATTATAGGGGCTGGAATAAGTAATATTCGGACCAAAAGGGGCTGATGAATCAGAAGCAACAATGTCTGCATAAGATTTCGAAACTAGTTGGTGGATTTTACTGGCTTCTGAATATGATTTAGAGTTTCTAGCCATTGTTTCTTTGATAGCTTTTTGCCAAGCGTACTCTGGGCACATTTTGTCTGTTGCAAAATGGGAACCAGAACATAAGATACACACAGCATCATCTCTTTCAGTCTTGCAGCTTATACTTGAAAGGTTGTCACCACATTTATAACTCCTTGGAGTGCCTCTGCATTGCATTTTGGTGTGACCATAACGCCAGCAATTAAAGCATTGCAGTGTGGGGAAAATATAAAGCTCTAGAGGTAGGGAGTTTAAACTTTAAAAGACCCTGGGAGGTAACACCTTCCCATCAAAGGTTAAAACTACAGTCTCAGTTGGAATGAACTTGGGAGTCACGCCTTCATATACCTTTCTGTTTAGACATAGACTTAGACAAAACATTAATTACATACGAAAACATACACACATAAACACACAAAATAACATCAAAAACAATATGTTTAGTCTCCGAACATTTAAATTGCTTCCACAGTTCTGCGGTAGCTCAATATTTTCCGTTATGTTTTTCTTGTCCCAGTCTAATGAAACACCTCTCACAATTCCCATGCGGGTGATAGTGAAGGCAAGAATAAAAGTTGTGTATTTATTAACGTCAAGAGATTTGTGGTTTAAAAATGTGTTATCATACTCAAATGTTTTAAATTTTAAGGGCAACATGTTCCTTAAAATTTTTTTGATGCTTCCTTGTACAATGCTTTTTACAAAACTTTTTTTAAGAAAAAATCCAAATTGTACTGGGTGAATAGATCCAGCTTCAAGAGACCTAGCAGCGCTAGTGTTACTTGAAATATTATTAGAGTGAGCAGCCTCATTATGGTGGATTTCAGTGCTTTATCATCAGACTCAAGCACTTTAGGAATAAGATTATCTTTTAAATTATTATGAGAAAGTTGGCAATCTGATAGACCCGTCTGTGATTACTTCTCTTCTTTTGGTTTCTAACAGAGATTCTCTTTCTTTTAACCGATTTCGTGCTTTCCGAGCAGTCTGTATCTATAATTAAACCTTCCTTTTCCATTCCCGACGCATCGATTGTGACTACATGAGACACCTGGAGGGAGTCCCTCCAGGGTCATCGGGCTCCAACATGGAAGCCAAGAGAAAAATCCTAATTACATATAATACAATGAAATTACTTACCAGGCGAAGAAAACAAACTAAAACTATAAATAATCAACAATAACTATGTACTAATATATACACTTTACAACTTAACTGATCCTGTAATATCAAATTAATTTAATTTTAAAAAGTTTAGCCAAAAAAAGGCGCCCGCCTATTTCAACATTTGTTCTTTAAACATTGCTCTATATTTGACAGACGTTATTGCAAATGGCATTCTTACGGTGTTTCTTTTACATTTCCTTTCAGGTGTTTTTGGCAAAGTCAAAAAAAATCCCAAAAGGCTGTTTGAAACAACTAACCCTTAAATGCATGATTTATACCTCTTGAAAAAATATATCTTTTAGACTTGTACATTCTAATGCAGGGAGACATAGAAAGAAATAAAAAAATATATTATTTTTATACTATTTTATAAAAAAACCTTTTGTGTCAGATATACAACATCATGCATTTACTAGACATTAATTACATATAGAACTCTTTGAAACAATGCTTGGATTTAGTAAGGCAAAGGGCTACTCTACACTTCTCACACCTTGTTCGTGTGTATCCCTTACACCTAGGCATTTTGCACCAGTCGGGCCAGTGACCAACATTATCAGTCCTTATGTGGAACATGTTGAACAGGCCCTCGCCTTTTTTTGGCTTTAATTTCCATTTCAACATTGGAACTGGTGCGGGGCCTTCCTCGTTTGTTACAGAGTACAGCTGCATTACTGACATTGGCTAAAACCTCAGCTAGTTCCAGTCTATAGTGACAATAATTCAGAATTGATGATGGAGCTTAATTTCTTTTCCTATATTTATAAACCAGCCAAGAATTTATTACTGTCCAATAAGTGATAGAAGATACGTAGGTACCTGAAGAAGCAATGAAGCTGTCCATGAGGTCCACTCCGCCCATATGGGCATTGTATTCCTGTATAATATGTGGGTAAGAAATCTTGACCTAGTCTTATTCGCTTTGTCAAACCTTTCTACTTGGGAGACAGGTTCTGCTCCAACATATGAAGATAGGAAAATGACAGCTTTATTGTCCTTCCAAGTTACAGCTGTCAACAAGATGGCCGCTATCAACTGTAAAAGTTCGGAAGTCCCTATTGAAAGACCCTTTAGATGGTCCAACCAAGTCTTTAAATTTCGCCAAAGTTTGAAGATTTTTTTCAGGTTGTTGCTGTTATTATTATTGTTTATTCCACTGAGGCACATGGAATAGTCTACTGCTTTAGGATCGAATGGTACTAAACCACAACAACGAAACCCACTAATCAGAGTATCTGGTTTTATACACTTCTGTAATGCTAGTTCCAGAACACATGCAAAATTCACTTTTATAATTGGTTCGCCGTTTTCTAAATGCTATATAACTTTACAGGGTCTTTCCCATCTCTTTGCACAGCTTTCTTACAACATAAGTAAGATGAGTTGTATGTCCATCTAAAAATTATATGACAGGAAATTGCACGCCTTTGGAAATCAGATGAGGGTGAAATATGTTTGCTATGTATTCGAAGAATAGTTCGGATGTCATCCATCTATTTTCACATCTACACATACCCATTCTTTCATTTAGGGATTTCCGTCTGCAATTTTTTGAGGTATTCTTTGATTCTTGTCCATTGGTGGACACGCGGTATCATCAGCGGAAAAAGTGTTATTGATACTGACTCCTTGCCATTACGTTGATCAACTTTATATACATTTTGGGTTCCTTTCGCTGCTAGCTCTTAACTCGTTTTTGGACATAATTGGAATCCACTTTCATCGCCATAATAGATCCTAGATGGTTTATTAAAAATATTTAGTAGGTTGTTTTCGCAAAACAACTAAATATCGACGCCTCCCACGCATAAAGTCGTAAGGGAAAAAAAGCATTTTTTGCAGGAGAGCAATTTTTGTGTACGTTAATGATAAACTTAATTTGTTAAACATTTTTAACCGATATTTTTGCACTATGCGATTAATTATTAGTTACAAAACATTGCTCTCAAAGCTGGATGCTATAAAAAATTATATTTATGCAAAATTACTAATTTTAGTTACATACGACCTTATACTCACTAGAGAAACGTCGTATCTTAATGTTACGACTTTATGCTTTTAATCAGGTTGTTATAAACAACGCGAATAAAGTCGTATGTTTGAATTACGACATTATGCTACGTGTAAACTGCCATATAGGTATCTCGAAAAAGTGGTCGTATGTGGTGGTGGTACTTCATGATTTTATTCATGAAGTACCACCACCACATACGACCACTTTTACAAAAAGTGTAGGCTAAAACAGCTAGTTTTATTAAAATATCTATAAGTATAGGAACATAATGCAGTCTTCTTTCATCACCATGAACAGTATAATAAACGTTTAATAAAAAAATAACATAGCTTCACTAATAAAATTAAAACTTAGAAGTTAAAGGAAACAAAAAATATTTAAATCTTCAAAATAAAATGAAAATTACTTTAAATTAGATATTGAATCATCTTATACATAATAGACCTTTAGATTTATGATAGAATAGCAGTGATGTAATTGACGGTTATTCAGAGGAACCACTACTGTTCTGTTCTGCAACATTGCCGCTGTGTGACAACTGTTGATAAAAACTATGGTACTCTTGATTATACGTCCTTGACAAAGACTAAATAAATCATTAAACTTTGCTAATGTAATAGGTAAATGATCAGAGTGAATAATGAATAATTTTTTTTGGTTATTAAACTCATAATGTTATTTTCTTCTTCAAAATTATAACGATAGTTCAAAATATAGGGTTCGTTGGACACTACCTGAACTTCTCTAATCTTGTTCCATGATATTTTTTGGTTTTTAGTATTTTTAGCCCAATTTCTACCGTCTAGCAAAATTTTATAATTGTAAAAATCTGTAACACTCATTTCAATTACATTATAATTTGGGGGGTTAACTTTTGACCATCTAACTAAGGCAAACCACTGTGCAGGAGTATATATAAGTTTATTTTTTGCATTTCTCTCAATCAAAGCATGAACTGAGTCGGCTTCATTTTGTATGTGCCCGCGCTCTAAAAACCTATCGTTATACCATACTTTTTTGCTACATAGGTATAACATGCAAACACAATACGGTTTCTATTTTGGCCGGCACAGTTATCGGACCAAAACCTGAATTCTTTGGCACCTTGACTAACTTTAGTTTCAATAAATTTAGACAAGCAACTTGCTACTTCACACGCCCCATGTTTGCCATTAATCTCGGACCACATGTAACAATAACCTTCTTGACTAGCTAGATCAAATACAGTAAAATTATAAATTGACAATTTTCTTTTATAATAAAATAAACCGACATTGCCATGGGGACAATTTAAAATTTTTTGGAAATCAAAACACGCCGTAACTATTTTTCCTTTGCTTTCCAGAGCTTCCTTTTTATCATTTGCCTTCACTTATCTCGCTTTAGTCTTGTTTCGCATGTGAAGTTCTTGTTATAATATATATGGCACTCATTGCAGATGTCTTTTTTCGGTTTGTGAAATGATGTATTCAAATTTTGATTTATGATATCTCGATACTGTCTTACTGTCATTGCTTTTTTAGTTATATTTTCAATCGTACACCACTCATTGTATAATGAAAACATTTTTGTAAATGTTAGGTCACTCTAAGTAAATTTTAGTAGTGTCCTTACGCACATAATGAGATTCAATAGGCTGGAACGTTTTGACATGCCTTAAAACACTCTGTTTCATTTCGTCGTCAATGACAACAGTTCTGGTACCACCACGCCGATCAGGAGAAACAGACCCACCACCTGAACTCCATTTTGCCAATGCTGTTTGAACAGTTCTCTTCCCTACAGAAAGTGTGTTTAGGAACATCGTTTTGCAGACAAACAATCTAATAGGTATGTCAGAGTTTGGTTCAATAAGAGGCAAGCAATACTTAATGGATTTCTTACGTCTAGAAGTAGAAGGATACCTACTTAGTGTCGCCTACTTCGGTATGATTGACGATGTAATCCCATTGCCGACAGTGATCTCCAATTTGCCAAAAAGAACAAAATATACGTTCCCGTTCTTGTGCATTAAATTTTGTAAAGCATTTAAGTCGGACATGGTTGTTTCAAAATCTTTCCATCTCTTTGAACTCCATTTCTGCTTAAATAGGCTTTCCCTAAATTTTTTAAACATTTTCTTTTTACGTCTTTCCACTCATCACGGCGACGGTGACGCTTTCTTCCAACTCTGCCTGACGGTGTACTTTCATTTGACGAACATACAGAAGAATCCTGACTCGAAGCGTTACTAAGCTGTGGTGTATTGCCTCTACTAACACTACTAGTTGAACCATAATTATTATCATCACAAATAGATGAGTTTCTAAATAACGGAGTTGAAATGGCCACACTGTACTCGAAAAAATCGTTATTCGGGGAGGGCATTGGTGTTAAAGAAGGTTCTATTATATCAGCTGATTCGTGAGAAAACTCTTCAGCACATAGCTCTGAATCCATACATCTTATAGTTTTTTCATTTGGCATAGCAGACGACAGTGAGGATTTTGCTTCCGTATTAGACGTTACCTCGTGAATACTTGTTACAAAACTGTTGCCAATATCACTGCTACTTTTATTAAAAGAGTGCCCAAACATCGTCTTGTACAGATTCCACTGGTCTTCAGCTTCAAGTGGCACCGGTGATTCTGAAAATATTGAAGTCCAATTAGTTAAAAACCTAGAGAAAAATACATAAGCAGTTATAAATAGAATTAAAAGTTCAATTTTAGTGATATTTTAGTTACAATAGCAGATAATCGTATCTTCATTATATAATAAAGCATCAAGTCTTATGTCTGTGATCCGTCTTTATACGTTTATTTATCTTTATACTACAACCACGCATATGGTCGTAAGTGTAAGTTACGACTCCTAGAATAAATTTTTTGCGTAGTATAAAGTCTTAACTGACCACTGCTAGCGATTGAATCCGACGCATATAGTCGTTACATAGACCTTCCGACGTTATGCACCGGGGCTACATTTTTTTTGTCGAGGTCTATTAAACACTAACACTTATTAATATAATTTATTCGTATGATGGTATCTCACATATAAACAAGTGAATTATATAATAATGTAAGAAAATAGAGTAAAACTTACCATTTCCAAAATTTTCGTCGGCCGTTAAGCCCGTCACAGACTTAGCTATAATATATATTAATATACCGTACTATAATATATATTATAGCAAGCTACCACACACTGAGAAATATATATTTTGCCTTCATTTAATTGATGGTCGTCATAGTGTTCGCACGTATTTTGTAATTAAGGGTGTTCTTATTTCAAAATACTAACAATAATTATGAATTCAACAAGTACATTGTTAATGGACTTAATAGACAGTTCTTCAGAAGACGATAACGCCGCTGCTTTCGATATGTTAGTTGCCCGGTCAGGCACAAAAACTAGAACCAAATAGATCGAATCACATATAAGAAATAAACAAACTCGTGGCGAATTTAATTTATACCGCGAGTTATCCTCAAAAAAATTTGCCCAATATTTTAGAAGTTCAAGATCGTCATTTCTAGAGCTACATGAATTGATAAAAAATGACATAAAAAAGAAAAATACGATTTTGCGCTAAAGTATTAGTTCTGAAGAACGTCTGGCTGTGTGTTTAAGGTAAGAAGAAAATTAATACAACACAGTAGGTATAAATCTTTTATTTTCTAATCAAAACTAATTTTACTTTTAAAGTTAAGAAAACAAAATCATTTTAATAATTAAAATCCTGGACGTAATTACGAATATTCAGAAATTGTTCTGCCGAATCAGTATTTTGACTTTGCATTGCGTCAGGGCTATTGTACACTTCAACTGTTGGTGAGGTGTGAGATGACTGTGCAGAATCTGGTGGCAAAGAAGGTTGTTGAATAGTATAATCAGTTTCTGATGTGAGTGTATTCAGAGATTGTTCTGCCGAATCTGTATTTTGACTTTGCATTGCGTCAGGGATATTGTACACTTCAGGTGTTGGTGAGGTGTAAGATGATTGTGCGGAAACTGGTCGTAGAGTAGGTAGATTCCTGTTTTGTAGTTTGAAAGGAGTACCACCGGTGAATTATAAACTGAACAACCTGGAGAATTGTCTGAGTAGTTTGATCTCATTAAATGTTGCTCTTTGGCTTCCATTACAATGTTAAATATTTGGCGCTGTATTCTCATTTGCAAATATTCCGGCAATTGGCATGTGGTATCGCACATACTCAAGAAAAACTTTTCCATAGCACTAGTTTCATTTTTTGACTGGTAAGAAGCATTCTCCATTAACTGTCTTCTTAGGTGGTCTCTCTAGGCAGATCTTTTCTCCCTTCTTTTCTGTTCATCTTCGAGGATAGAATGGATCGTTTTGTTTTTTTTAATTCTAAATTCCTTCAAAGAATCCATGGACTCATCGCCTGTTAAGCTATCATCGTTCAGGGTATCTGTCGTGTTTCTGGAACTAGTTCCTACGTTTGTATGTTGATGTCTATTTTTCATGTTTGGAATTAAAAACTCCATCAAATGTTCGTATTTCCATATTGGTTTAGAATCCGCTGCTTGTCCCGTAGTTTTTTTTTTAGCATTTAACGCTTGACGGTGCCCGTCTCTTAGTTTCTTCCATAAATTTTTTATTTCTGCCACTGAAACAAACAAAATAATTGATAATAAATGAAATTTCAGGTATCTTTCAACTGGGGATTCATTTAGAACCATAGGCTTCAGTTATAGAATTGGAGAATCTACTGTGTCTAATATAGTGGATGAAGTGTGTGATTCTTTGTGGAAGCACCTTCAGCCTAAAGTTCTCGCAGAACCTACAAAAGAAGAATGGAAGGATATTGCTTCAGGTTTTAAAGAAACGTGCCAGTTTGACCACTGTTGCGGTGCTATAGATGGCATACAAAAACACATTTTCTATTGTGTTGTTAGCGGTAGCTGACGCAACCCGTAAGTTCAGGATAATAGATGTTGGCTCAAAAGGACGATTTAGTGATGGTGGATATTTGCAGACAGTGTCTTGGGAAGGAAAATGTTAACTAATGAATTACAATTTCCTGATGAAGAACCCTTAGCTTCGGGCGGTATAAATATGCCATACGTTTTTGTGGGCGATGAAGCCTTTGCGTTGATGACAAATTTAATGAGAGCATATCCAAAGGGTCACTTAACTAAAAGTCGTAAAATTTATAATTATAGACTCAGTAGAGCGCGCAGAGTCGTGGAAAATGCATTTGGTATATTATCTACTCGTTGGAGAGTCTTTAAGAGACCATTTGAATGCAAAATTGATATTGTAGACAAAATAGTTAAGGCCACTTGTGTTTTACACAACTATTGTATAGACAATACCATTGGTTATTTCAACATTCAAAATCATCGCAGTGTCCGAATTGACAGCGAGCATCAGTTGCTCAGTTTACCTGACAATTTAAATAACGTTACACGCCCAATGTCAGATACGCAAAATGCCAGTTTTGCAAACGACTGTTTCTTTATTCGAGAAGAATTTTGTAATTATTTTAATACAGTGGGAGCAGTCCCATGGCAGTCAACACGAATTACGGAGAGGCTAAATCAAATCAGGCGTAATTGGAACGTAATATATAAGAAAAAAAATGTTTTACTTTACTTACCACTTGGAAAATCACACTCATTAAATACTTCTTCCCACGCTGCTTCTTTTAATTCGTTGTCCTTATACTCTTTCAAATCAAGTTGCCATAAACAGGGACGTTTTCGTACACTTTCAATCAAATGCTCCATTATAATTAAAATGACGTGCACGTTCTTTGGTGAATGAAAAGAAACTGCAGGCGGAGGAGGCCAGGGGCAGCAAGACGCGGGCGCGCGAGGCAAAGCGGAAAGGTGTGCGGGGATCGAAACACGCTGTACATTCAAAATATGTCGGAATATGTCTTGCTATACCATAATATATAGTAATATGTAATAATGTATATTACGGTATCGCTTGGTGACGTCACAGAAATATATATTATAGGTAGCTGATTGTGCGGTCACGCGAAAATTAGTATAGAAAATATATAGTAATATGCCTAGCCATAAAAATATTAATATATATTATAGCTAAGTCTGTGACGGGCTTAATTACTTCGCTGTTTGGATTGGGTTTATCTAACACTAATTTCAAAATCTTAGACGAACGTAGGTTGCTCATTCCACTAATTTATAATTGCACACGTCCTAACTAACAAAAGTAAACAAAAACAACACAACATCAATATTATTTTCAACATTTAAATTAGAGAGACTTTGTGCATGCTAATTCGTGTCATACGACGTCGGTACTGCGCTCTGATTGGCCGGCTGAGGTCCAATAGATCGGAGCGCATCGTCGGAACATTATTCCTGAAGTATGTTTTGCTCTGAACCAAGTGCTAAAGGACACGATTAAGGTGAGTTAATAAAACTTTTTAATCCATAATTATTGCCCCACTATATTTTTTTAATTGGTTATTTTACAATCGTTATTTAAAGCTCTTGCATAAGCATCAGCCAAAATATTTTCAGACTGACTGTGTCTGAGAATACAATTCGTCAGAAATTATTTGCATAGATCCCTCAGGTATATGGATCGTAGGGACAGGTGTATGGATTCTGTTGCGAGATTGATAAACTACTTCTTGTGTGTATGAGGCATTAGGGAGTTCAGTAGGTGGAATAGGTGATGGGCTTTGTATAGGAGAAGTAATTATATAAGAATGATTTGAAGACGTTAATTATGAGGGGCGATTGATCCAAGGTGACGACGGTGATGGACAAGAATAGCTGGTGGCTAGAAGACGGACATTTACTTATAATGATTTGAGAAGGTGAAGACACGTACTGAGGACTACAATTGCGACGCCGTTTTAATAGTCAATATCGTACATTATTTCTTGTCTCTCATTATCTGAATATTTTCTGAGTTTGTTAGCAAGAAGCCTCCCAAACAAATCGCAGTCGTCCTCTATTTTATTTTGTTGGTCTTTATTGAGAATAGCCTGGTTTAACGTATTAAAAGCCTTTGACATTTCCTTATCTGCTTTTTCTAACTCAGGTGGTTTAACTGAACGTCTCCTCTGTACAGGTATGTTTATATTCATGTCCTTTGTTTCTGTGTTGCTTTTAGCATCACTTGGAGTTTCCCTTTCTTCTTCTGTCTGTTCTCCAATGACTGCCTGAAAAAAAAAAATATTTTTTCAGATTCCCACAAGTCCTGATACGGGATTTACACTCGCGCTTCGTCCCTCGCCTCGTCCCTCGTGCGAGGCTCGTGTTGATCGATGGTAAATGAGTTGCCTGTTTACACTCGCGTGCCGAGTTCAGTCGTCTTTGAGCTAGCAACAATGGAGGACGTCGAAGTTTTAGCAGCAACAAGTTTGTGCGTACTGGGCTTATACTGCTACGTCACTAATTTAAATAAAAGGAAAGTAGTAAAGAAACGGCGGTGGCGCCCAAGAAGATGGTGGATGATATCGATTCATCGCAATAGAACCCTGTAAGTGTGTTAATGCCTACGGAGCTTCTGCTTCTCCCTGAATCGCATTATGCAATATGTAGTATAGTTATTTTTAATGCTTCTCTTTTAAATTTCAGGCAAAGTATGGAACAAATGTTTCAAGAAATGCTGAATGAAGATTCTGGCGAGTTTCAGAATTTTTGCCGAATGTCACCAAATGATTTTGATTTTCTGCTAAGCAAAGTAGAACCTTTGATTAAAAAGCAAAAGACTAGACTCAGAATACCCATCCCAGCAAAAGTGCGCTTAGCTATAACGTTACGATTCTTAGCTACTGGCGACAGCTACAGGAGCCTTCACTACTTATTCAAGGTTTCCAGTGCAGCCATCTCAATCATTGTACAAGATGTCTGTAATGCTATCAACACAGTGCTAAAGGATCAGATAAAGGTAAGAAATTAAAGTAGGTACTTGATTAGTCAATCATGTATTTATTAAAATTATGTATGTAGCCTAAATTATGCATGTTTTTTTAGTAACATCACTGAATAATCATCAACTTACGTATTTTTAAGCTTATACGTATGTATTCATTTATTTTCATCAACTTACACTGTAGTATCACCAACGTATACAGTAATCATCAACTTACGTATTTTTAAGCTTAAACGTAGTCCTTATTTACTATCATCAACTTACATTGTAGGTATCACCAACGTATACAGTAATCATCAACTTACGTATTTTTAAGCTTAAACGTAGTCCTTATTTACTATCATCAACTTACATTGTAGGTATCACCAACGTATATAGTATAGTTGTAAGTTTAGTATTCTTATTTTTATACTTTAGTACTTACATAGATAAAGTTAGTAAAATTAATTGTATTTGTCATTTAAAGCATTTATGAGCGCTGTATCTATGATGCTTTGAGAAGCATAGGGCTGCGTAATTTCGTCAGAAAGGATAGTGAAATTTTGTGATGGTAAAACGGTATCAATAGTGGCAGTTGCTGAATGTGTATTCGGGATAGATATTTGTACGGGGGAATGTTGTGGTGGCGAGACATAGCTGTAATGAGAAGCAGGACGGTCCGGGATAGATATTTGTACGGGGGAATGTTGTGGTGGCGAGACATAGCTGTAATGAGAAGCAGGACGGTCCGGGATAGATATTTGTACGGGGGAATGTTGTGATGGCGAGACATAGCTGTTATGCGAAGCAGGACGGTCCGGGATAGATATTTGTACCGGGGAATGTTGTGGTCGCAAGACATAGTTGTTACGAGAAGTAGGACGGTCTGGTATATAACTCGGAGAGTTAGAGGAAGATGGTATAGAATGTATCGGCGATGGTGTAGATCTGGAGTATCGGTTAAATTGCTGCAATTGTTGTGGTGGATTTGCCAAAAGTAGCCCATCAATGCGATGCATAATCTGACGCCGTTCTTGTTTTGAATATTCTCGTAATCTTGTAGCCAATAACTGCGCGTACATGTCGCACTCGTCAGTTTCCTTCCTGTTCAATAATATGCTGTTTAAATTAGATACCGTGTCTTTTATATTCTTCTGAATCTCTGTGTCGCAATCTTCACGAGGACGCTTTTTTTTGACAGGTGATTTAAATATTTTTTTATTGTTCGCTGGTTTGTCTTTCTCGCTATTCTGTACATTGCTCTGGGCATTATTATTGTCACTAATAAGCTCGTTATTTTGTTCGTTACCATGGCGATCAATATTGTCACTATCCTCGTTGACATTATCTGGATCTGATGTTATCTGAAATAGATTACATACATTCTTAATCATAATTGTTCTAAAATACAGAGTCCTCATCCTCAACAGTATCAACAGCCGTGGATATCATTATGAACAACTGTTTCATATGGAATTCGCGAAAAATAATTCGATCTCTCCATACGAACAGACCGAATCACGAACCACCTGAACATAGGTGATTGACAAATTAGGACCCGAAATAATTCATACTTTTTCTTGTTTTTCAGATGCCGCGGACAGAGGCAGAATGGTTAAATATAGAAAGGCGCTTTCAGAGAAAATACCCACATTGTGTAGGTTGTATTGATGGCAAGCATGTACAGATACAATGTCCAATTGACAGTGGCTCAGAATACTACAATTATAAAGGGACTTTTAGTTTTGTGCTCTTAGCTTTAGTTGATAATGATTACCGCTTCATATTTGCCGATATCGGAGCTCAGGGTAGAATTAGCGATGGAGGCGTATTTCAAAACAGTGTTCTTTGGGAAAGAATTTCTACAGACACTATTAATTTACCACCTGATTGTCCACTTCCTGGTGGACAATGTAATGTACCATATGTTTTTCTCGGAGATGGGGCATTTGCGTTAAGCAAACACGTTATGAAACCTTTCCCAGGAAACCATCCCCTTGGTTCATTACAACGCAATTTTAACAAGAGATTATCTAGTACACGTGTTATCGTTGAAAATGTTTTTGGAGTTCTAACAACAGTTTTTAGAATCTTTAAACACCCAATGGAAATTAATAAGGATAAAGTTATATTGATAACAAAGACTTGTATTCTATTACATAATTTTCTCAGAAATAGTAGGACTTCAAGAAACATTTACACACCTCCTGGTACCTTTGATACTGTTGTCAATGATGAAATAATTCAAGAAGGTTCTTGGAGGCGACAGGTTTCCACTAACCCGGCTATAATACCTATTCCAACTGTAGCTAGACGTGCAGCACAGAGTGCCATAGACGTAAGAAATGAGTTCGCTAATTTTTTTCAAAGGCAAAATGTTTAAGACAATAAATTGTTACCCATTTTATCGAATAGTAATGAGGTTATAAATCAGTTGCTAAGAGAAAACTCGCCAGCCAAAGGTTCGGTTAAAACATTGCTAAGATATCAAAATTATTTAATTATTGTGTATTATTTATATTGGATACAACTTTTGATAGTAGGTAATTATTATTTATAGAAGTACTTGCTTGTGCCCGGCCCGGGACTCGAACCTGGGATAAAAAGTATCTATTATGTTATTCTGGGTCATTCTATATCTGTGCCAAGTTTCATCCATATCTGTTCAGCAGTAACGATATACTAGCGCCATCTACCGACTAGCGTCATCTGTCTATACCTACTTGATGATGATTTATTGAAGATGACTAATTACTTGAACTGACTAATTACTTGAATAAACCTAACTAAACAAATATGTACTTAGTTTTATTTTACTTACGTCTTGTCTTTCTTCAGTGCTCACTGTGGTGTTACACTCGTAAATGGATGCCAAAAATGTTTCCATAGCATCGTAATACAACCACACTGGCTTGTAAATATCATCTTCTCCTGCGCCGGACCTTACTGATTGTTTTTTGCGCCGGAGTAGCTGGCGAAATGTAGCCATGAGAGAATTTTTCTTGTTTTTTAATTCTGTTTGAGATCTTCCCATTATTTCGGACAATCTCGCCCATGCATCGCTAACTTTTTGGCTGTTCTTGTGGCATTTATGTTTAGGGTCCCAAATTATTCGTTCTTTTTGAAATAGTTCTATGAACTTAAATGTTTCGTCTTGCGACCAATCCATTATACGATTACTGCGTTTTTGTTTTTGCGTATTTAAAACTAAACACAACCTGCGCGGCACGATGTAGAAGCCAGAATAAAGCGGGAGGGCGAATGTAAACACCCACTCGCGTGCGACGCGAGGTCCTTTGACTCGTGCCCCAAAAACCGCTCCGGACGCGAGCGCCGCGAGGGACGAGGCGAGCCACGAGCGTCTGTTCACACTCGCACCTCGCCCCTCGCCTCGTCCCTCGCCTCGCGACTCGTACGCGAATGTAAATGGGCTATGAAGAATGGCTGACCAAAACGGAAGGATTCAGTTTTCCCCGTTGCCTTGGCGCGATAGATGGGAAGCATATTACCATATTAGCACCAGCTCATACCGGATCTGAATACTTTAATTACAAAGGAAGTTTCAGCATCGTTTTATTAGCCCTAGTAGATAGTGATTACTGTTTTTTGTTTGCTGACATAGGAACCCAAGGAAGAATTAGTGATCAAGGTGTTTTAAATCAAAGCAATTTGTGGAAAAAAATATGTGATGGGACCCTTAATTTACCAACTAGTTGCCCACTTCCTGGAAGTAATACTAATATGCCTTATGTTTTTCTGGGTGGCGCTTTTGCTCTTAGTACTCATATTATGAAGCCCTTTCCTGGACATCATCTTTTAGGTACCCCAGAAAGAATGTTCAATCAACAACTATCACGTTCTCGTGTGGTCGTAGAGAATACTTTCGGGATATTATCGTCAGTTTTTAGAGTATTTAAAAGACCTATTCCGTTAGATGTCGTTAAAACTTCTATTATAACCCACAGCCGCTATGATAGGAATGGTGAATTAATCCATGTAGGTATGAGAGTAAACCATGAAGAAAATCTATTACCATTAAAATCTGTACCTCGTCGGGCTCCTATTAATGCTACGCAAATAAGATAAAATTTTATGAATTACATCCATCAATGTCGACTATGCAGTGGTAGGGCCTATGATGCATAATTTAATTAGTTTATAATTTGTGGAAATCAAAATGAGTAATTACGTACTTACTAATTAATAAAAAACGTTGGAAACTATTTAATTGTTTTACTTACCCTTTGTTCATCTGTCGATATAATACTTTTGCATGTATATTTTCCTTTCAAAAATGCCTCCATAGCATCATAAAAAACCCAAATTGGCTTATAAATTTCTTCTTCTCCCATACCAGATCGGATCGAATCTTGTTTTTTTTTTGAAATGCATACGAAATGCTGACATCAATGTCTCTTTCTTTTTTTTTATGTTCCGAAACAGGAATTTGCAGGAAGTCTGCAATGCGATTCCATAATCATTCACCTGAAAACATCGTACCCACAATACTACATATTATTTTCAGACGAGGCTCTTTTATCGCCTATTTTCATCAGGGATAATGTAGGATTCTAATGCTAAAAGAATTTTTCAAATCGGTAGGTACATTACAACAAACAATTTAAATCCTTCCTCTTTATAATATTAGTATAAATGTATAACTATAGATAGATAGTATACATCATTTCTATCAACATAAAAATAGTATAAACATACCTTGTTCTTATCCTTGTGCAGTGCATTATTTGGGTCCCAAAGTGCGGGCTCAGATTGATATAAATCAATAAACTTGAAAGTTTCTTCATTGCTCCACGATATTGACATTTTGGATGATCGAAAATTCTAGTTCTAGGACGAAACACAAAAGTGTACTATCCCGGTCAGCGGCCGGTGACGAACTAAACAATGGCCGATTGTGTAAACACCACAGGCCACGCTACGCCACGATTCCTTTGAAGTGTGCCCAAAAAACCGACAACTCCCCGATTGCGCGCCACGATTGACAATTGTCCGCCATCATATACCATTACCCCCTGTACACAATGGCGATGGCCTGTAGTGGGCCTGCATGGGCCATTGTGTACTGGGGCCTTTAGAATGTACGTGGATGTTGTAATAAGAGGAATATTTAAAAAAATTATCAGAGATTATAACAAATACGACATTTGTGCAAAAGAATAGAAATAATTAATGAAGCTCTCGTGACATAATTAGGTACTTAAAATTGGATGCGTTCTGTTATAACCTTAGCAAGATATATCTTATATGCTGAGTAATCAAAAAGAAGGCAATGTATACCAAGCGGGAGCAGTGTCAGTCCATTGTCAGTGTCCATTAAGGTTACACCTCTGTTTCTTAATTACCAATATTTAAATAAATTATTTTATTTAAAAAAAATATTATTTCAAGTTCCCACGGCAGCGGGGGGTACGAAAATCATATTCCGTGTGTGGTATAATTAAACACATATTTTATGGCCTTTATATATATATCTCCAGTGAGCTATGCTCTTCAAGGTCACTGTGATCATCATTGCACTGTAAGTCCCAAACATTTATCAGAGCTCAGAGATAGGTATTATTCTTAGAGTTAGTTATAGTTAATTCTTTTCAAATTAATATGTGCGTCTCGTTCATTTCTATATCATATTTTGTGTAAAGTTCTTTGTCCGCAGTCATATGTATAAAAGTAAAAAACCCGATAAAATGTCCGAAATTGATTTAAACATTTTACTGAAATTCATTACCACAATCAATGGGTCACGTGAAAAATTAAGTTCATTCTTAACAAATTGCCAAAATGTGATTAGTATGGCTACACCACCACATTTTGAAATTCATTCTGAGCAGGCTGGAAGGAAAGGCAGAATCGGCGTGTTCAGATAATTTAATAAATGAATGACTTCTTGAAAGCCCAGTTTGGTGATAAAAAACGTTATTCGTATATTTTAGCAGACTTACAAGATTGTAAACAATCTATAAACGAAACCATCAGTTAATATTCCCTCAAGGTAGAAGCATGCCTATCAAAGTTACTAGCTGAAATTAATATATCAATACCTACAAAAAATAATGACGAACTTGTAGGACGCGCGCGTAACAGTACTCTATAGAATCTTTCAGTACTTGTAACACCTTTCCAAGCCGTTTATCGTGTTGTGACTCATACAATAATATCAGACCCAGTACTATAATATCAACAGAAATGTGTGACCTCATGAATTGCCCCCCTCATATCAATAGAAATGCGAACGCCACCATTTCCTTTCAATACTGACACCATTGGCGAGAACCATTTACTTCAGCTTCTTTTAGTTCTGTTATTTTTCTATTTACTATTTCTTCCAAAGGTATTCTTCTTTTTTATGATTACCGGATTCACCTCTTTATTGATGGGGATCTGAATCATCTTTAAACTTGGGAAATGTGCTAATAATATTGATGGGATCACCAATTCTAAGAGCATAAAGTACGATTGCACTGGTTTTACCAAGAAAATTACGCGTTCCATTCTGAATAAAAAAATCGGTTGTCTGTAAAGTCGATTTACTGACGATAGTTGAACGTGACAACGTCATAAGAAAATACTGATGGAATGGTTGCATTTTTCAAAAGAAAATTTTAATTTTATTTATTGATAAATATTATGTATATTTATTTATTTATTAAGGAACACTAACAGATTACATGTAAATTAAGTGAGGGCCAGCGGTGGATTCCAAAAAAAATATATTAATATTACTTTAATTAATTACTTTTACAAATAATGAACTTAACTAAATACAATTATTTAATCGGCCCGATATTAGGTGCACGATAAATATATTATATAATAAACTTAACTACTTGAGACTTGACCGGTCCGATATGAGGTATCCGATCAAAAAGCTGTTGGTTCTCTTGTCCCTTTTCTTATATAGTGTAGTTTCGTAAGAGGTGACTTGTATTGGGTATGCGGGGCAAAGGGAGTGCAATGAATATGTAACATGTATATATTCTCTAATTAACAATATTGGTTTTTATTCTAGCATGCAATCTAATAATAGGTGTACACAACATTGACTCTAATAAATGATAGCGGACAGAGTTTACTTAAGTATTTGTATCTTTAAACATAAATAAATTGAAACGTGGAAAATATTACATGACTTATGGCTGTGATGACTGAATTTTCTTCTTAAAACTAGGAAGTGAGTCATAATACACGTCAAGACTATGTCTACAATTACATTGGTTAAAATTCTTAAGCATTCTACTGAGGGGCGCATGTTTACCTAGATTGGTTAAGGACTGTGAAACGACAAAAGTATCAGTCTGTCTTCTTCTTGCGTTGATTCTAGGCACTACGAAGTAAATCTTTTTTAAAATATCTGGACAAATAATCGTGCCGTGCATCAATTTGTACAAAAACACCAGGTCCACAATCATACGACGATCCTCGAGAATTTGCAAATTGAACTTCTGTAATCGATCAACATAATCACTTCTGTAGCAAAATTTAGGGGTTTTGTACGCCAGGAACCGTGTGAATGTTCTTTGTGGACGTTCTAGTGCATACTTGTGTGTTTGGTATGTGGGATTCCACACAACACTAGCGTACTCAAGGTGGCTGCGCACCAATGCATTGTACAGAACAATAAGAGTTTTAACATTCTTAAAGTCAGTGATATAGACGCCTAATAAAACCGAGCATCCGAAATGATTTTGATATAATTATTTCGTGGTGAGGAATAAAACTGAGAGCACTATCCAGCGTCACACCAAGGTCTCGTATACGATTAACCTTCTCAAGAGCAACTCCATTAATTGAGTATATCGACGTAGGAAAGCATATTTGCTGTAAGTAGACAAAATACCTAAAGTGACTTTTTCCTGCCATTAGAATCAGAAAAAAAAGCCGCATCGAATGACCTGGGTCCTGTGTCTCTACGATGAAAAAAAATTACATACGCCGTTGAAAACGCCCGTACTTATATTATTTTTAGCAAGATTAAATGCTGTATGTAGACCAAAATCTAGTCATTTCAGACATTTTGCACTTACAGCAAAAGAAAATCTGCATTTTTTTCTTTACAAATACTTACTTCTTCCCATTTAAAAACTTAACGCTACTTACAGCATTTCAGCGGCGTGTGATTTTTACATTCATTTACTTACAGCAAGCTTAGGGAACCTACAGTTTTAGTGTTTTTTACCATTTACGACATTTTATTTCAACCGAACATTACATTACCAAATGACCCACTGCATTTCTAGATCTAATCATAATTATAAACTAATCTTACATCTTGAATTGCAATTGAAAGTACCCAAATACATAAATTTACTGCATACAGCATATTTACCGCCTGTAATTTGATAATATTTCCGCGCGTACATTTTTCTTCCTTAGTTACAGCGTTTTAAAGGTTTGTGATTTAAAAAACTGTTTGCTGTAACTAGCCAAACACGTACTTATAGTAACTTTGGATAAAAAGTTTACATTGCAAATGGTGACTGGCAGTTAAATAAATATATGTTTCAAAAATGGTAGCAATATCATGGATAGGTCAGACACTATTAATTTTTTTCCGAAATTAATAAATTTTTTTGGCTCTGGTGAACAATTGCAATATGTCTACTTACAGCAAATGTGCTTTCCTACGTCGATATTATGGATATAGACAAGGTAAATGGAAATCACAATTGAATGGATCAAGTTACATTTATTTGTACGCAAAAATACAATTATGTCAATTTTTTTACAATGTTCACAGTTTTTACAAGTATGAATGTGCGTTGAGCAATTATTTTACAACTTTTAAACATGTATGATATTTAACTTCTTACATTTTGTGTTATTCTGTTGAGAATAGGACGATGATAGGAAAAGTAGGAAATGAAAGGGAGTGTTTCGAGTGTAATGTGTCTTGAAAAAGTCAAATCGACGGTGGTACCTCTTAATGTTGTTGACTTATTAACGTCTGATGCACAATCGAGATTGAATATGTCATTCATGAATTTGATAAATGTTTCGTCATTTTTGACGTTTGTGTTGAAGTCGCCACAAAATTGCAGTGGTGGTAGATTGTTATTGAGCGTGTTGTCATTGACTCCTAGTTTCGTCAAAGAAAATGTCGTAAATATGCAAATTTGCCGTACCAAGGCAAAAATAAAGAAGTAAGCGCAAAGGTGTTTAAAATCTACACGTGCGTTTGTAAAAAAACAGTGTAATTTGAAGGTGTCTGAAAAAGAAAGAAGAAAAGAATTTAATAAATTCATCACACTGGGGTCGTACGAAGCTCAATTACTATACATTTGCTCAAATGTTTCGGAGACAGGTAAAAACGGTCGTATGTATCTGAAAATACTCAGGTTAAGAAGAAGCCACGAAACTTCTCCAGGACCTATAAAATTTCAAATATTCTTGTATGCCGTTTTTACAAACATTTCAAATAACTTCGCAGAAGATTACTATTTGTTTAAAAAAACAACGCGATGGTTTAAAATTACATGATTGTAGAGGTCGTTTATCTGGAGGGTGGAATAAAACTCCGCAACATAAAATAGATTTTGTGTGTAAATTTATAAATGGTTTACCAAAATATGAGTCTCATTATAGAAGGTTTACAAATGGCGATGCCTTATTACAAACCGGATTGAATATGCGAAAAATTTATCATATATACATTAACGAATTTAAAGAAATCCATGGCCACGATAACAAAAACTATGTGTCACTAGCCATTTTTAAAAAGATTTTTCTGGAACGGTTTAACTTACGATTCAAAAATCTTAAGAAAGACAACTGTAATAAATGTGACATGTTTGCAGCAAAAATAAAGGTCCCGAATGTTATGTCAGTAGATGATCGCAACAGATTGCTTTCTGATAAAGAAAAACATTTAAAACAAGCTTAATCTTTACGTTGCTTAATGAATAGCCATATAGAAAAGGCAAAAGTGGATGAGTCATTCGAATGCATCACATTCGACATGGAAAAAACGTTACCACTACCACGTATACCTACGAACGTGGTGTTTTATAAAAGACAACTCTGGCTTTATAACTGCGGCGTCAATGTGTCCTCTACAAATGAAGGATATTGTTTTGTTTGGGTTGAGGGTGAAGCTGGAAGGGGTGCCCAAGAAGTTGGATCTTGTATGATAAAGTTCATAAAAGAAATAATGCGTCCTAATGTTGAACGCCTGTCATTGTGGAGCGATAGTTGCGGAGGCCAAAACCGCAACATTAAAATGGTGCTCTTACTTAAAGTCATTTTAGCAAGCCATCCTACCCTAAAAGTAATTGACCTAAATTTGCTCGAATCTGGTCGTTTTTACCAAATGACACAGATTTCGGTAAAATTGAAAGTCATTTAAAACAATTTCAAAGACTATACACAGCAGAAGATTATATTTATGTAATTAAGACCTGCACAAAAAAGAATCCGCTAGTGCCAATAAAAATAAAAAGTAATGATTTTGTAAGTACAGAAAAATTTGAAAAAAATATAACGAATCGTCAGATGTTCGTCAATAAAGTTAAAGTAAATTGGCTTAAGACTAAACATATTCAATTAAGAAAAGAAAATAAACACTCACTTTTTATGAAGACCGACGATAATGAGCATTATCAGGAGCTTCATATAGGGAGAAAATACAAAGGTAGCTTGCTTCCTTGGAGGCGGAACTTCTGGTTCCTCTTTGGCCAGAGGGAAAACCTATAACGCAGGCCAAATTAAATGACCTTAAGTCAATGTTTAATCTAATCCCTGAAGACTGCTTATTATTTTATAAAAGCCTGAAGGGCATGGAAGGACCCGACTTTATTGAAGGGTTCTCTAGTGAGGCTGAATACGAATTAGAAGACCAGGACGACGAAGAGCTTTCATCTTAGTTGAATTAATTTTTTTTTCTATGAATCTTGTTTTATTTTTACACAACTGGCCAAAATACGTTCCAAAGCAGTATTTTTCTAAATATTAATAAAAGTATTAACATTGGAAGCCCTACATAGGGCTAAATTAAAACTGTATTATATTATGTCTAAAATACAAAAGTAACAGTAGTAAATATATTTTTCGGAAAGAAATACTAAGTTGATCTTATATAATTGACCTATTCTTTTATTGATAATTGTATTTTAATTTATTATAATTGACAGTGAAAATAAAATGGCAGAGTGACGGCACACTTGTTCTTTATTTGTTGCGTCTTCCAAAACGTAGGTTTTAATATGGCTGGCTTTGGCTTACATAGACTCATCCCCTCCAAGTGGCTGGCATTTGCGGTTGGCAGGCATAGCGGTTCGTTGGAGGGTTGGTCAACATGGCATGGCTTGGCTTTGGCAGGATGTGACTGGCGACGTCACGTCCGTTACACTCGGCCATCCTGAAACAGTTGATCCCGTGGGAACAACAACTACAATTAGCTCTCTGATAAATCAATCAGATCTTCGGTTTCAAGTTGCTTATCTGAACTGCTGGTACTATCAGATACAGTAATAATGCTTTTATAGGGTCTTAACGAATCGGCAGATACTAATCCAGTAAAACTCTTATATCCACGTAAACCTGTATACTTCTCATTTGGTACCTATCATTGCCCACTACCTTAGTTATGACATAAGGACCGGAATACAAGTCGTCAAGTTTAGTTAACTTTGCGCTACAAGTCGGTGCTTGTCACCATAGGACAAAATCACCCTGCTTATAGATGTGAGCAGATTTTAGTATTTTTTGTCAAAGTAACGTTTCATTGTAGCACTCGCTTTTAGTATCCTATCAGATGCTTTCTTTCGACGCGACTCTACTGGTACAGAAACACGCCCGGGAACCGCAACATCACATACTGATCTACCAGCCCGAGCAAACATCAAATCGTAAGGTTTGTAAGTGGTGGTGTTATTATAGTAAGCGTAGCGCGAATTAGAAGTCCAAAATAGGGCCAAATTTAAACTTTACCATAACATGCACAACATACAAAAAGATCAGAAATCAAAATTATATATTTCATAAGGAAATACTGAATTGAACTTTATTCTCAATTATCTCAAAATGGTATGTGTGTGGGATGAAACGTTTTTCAGAAACTACGTCCAATTGATAGGGCGTCTGAATATTCTGAAAACTGAGGTTAAAATTCCAAACGCAATTTCAACTACAACAGGGATCGGGATCTAGATAAATTTTGGTTAAATAACCTTTTTGGTGAGCCTACTTCATGGTTTTTTTGACTCAATGGAAACACGTATGGAATATTAATATTGGATCCTGGAAGTGGAAATGGTGGTGGAAAATCTATCTCGTTTCTAATTATTCTTTTCCATAGTAAACAATTATTAAAGACGCCGCCGTCACTTTTCCTTCCTTGATTCTCGATGTCTGCGAATACAAATTTGTATTTGCTATCCACTAAAGCCAAAAGGACAATGCTAAAAGTTTTCTTATAATTGAAATACTTTGTTCCATTGTGCGTTGGGCATTCAATGACTACATGCTTGTAATCCAATGCACCAAAGCAATGTGGAAATTTAGCCCTGAATCCTTCTTCTATATTAAGCCATCCTTCTGCTGTGGTGGGCATCTGTAAAAAGAAAGTAAATGAAGTGTAAGTTTAAGTATATTATTTTTTTGCAGCAATCACAACAAATAGAAGAAGATACAGATCAGACAGAGGATGACCCCAGGGGATAAGAGACCGTACAAATACGGTTACCACACCATCCAGACCACCACCTAGATCACCATCCAGTCCACCATCCATACAATAAACGTCTTCGCTCTGCTCCTGAAACGGCTGAAAAGCAAATGGCCGTGGCTTTTAGACAATTAACAAATGTTTTGGGTCAAAGGCAGAATGAAAATATACCTGCTCACAAAGACGATGATTGCGATCTATACGCAAAATTATTGGCTATAAAGCTACGTGAACTGTCAACTGAACAACGAAAAATTATGATGTACCAAATAGATGGGTTGTTTATAAACAGAATCAGTCAAAAATCAAATTAGCGTCATACACCATACCCTTAATATTATTCTCAACCGTCTTCAATGGCTGGTGCATATTCATCACCATCTCCTCAAGTCATTCCGAGTCGGCCAACATCAGTTAATAGTGTTTATTCTGAACCTATTCATAACAACCAAAGTTTTTTTCCCTCTCCAAACACACAAACTTCTTATTCAGCGCCAGACATGGCAAAACATATACCAACTCCAATAGCTCCAGCTCCGTCTACATCAACAGCACCCTCGCCATCTATTCGTATTATATCGGACCAAATCATCAACCCAGCCCAGCCCCACGTGAAACCAACATTAAAAACATGGCTATGTTGAATGCTTTCGAAGATTTTGATTCGTCGACATAATTCTTATTTAAATTAATAAATAATTAAACAATAAAGCAGTCGGCTAACATACATTCATATAACAGATTTCCTATGATTCTATTAAAATCTAAATAAATGTATTACATAATGTTTTGTTTTATTCCTACCTTAACGAGATCCTTTAGAATTTCATTATGAGCTAGGCAAACTTCACGAATGATTATCGATATCATAGAGACAGATACTTTAAACAAAAAGTGAAACCTTTTGTAGGAATCACCAGATGCCAAACCAAAAATTGTAGCATAATAGCAAGACGAAATTTGGCTGGTATAGCTTCTCTGAAGTCTGTATCATGCTTGGATATCATTGGTGACATTTTTTGCAGGAAATTCAAAATCAGAATAGCTCATTTTGCAGAATTTATCAAACTCTATAGATGGTTCATATAAAAGTTCATTAAATTTCTCTTCTAAAAATTGTCTGTAACAAATAAAATATATCGCAAGTATTGTGGCATAACTCAACTGCAACAGATAATGGTTAAATCAAAATAGTAGTTACCTGGTACGATTATGATGAATCTTTTTCATCCACCATCTTCGCTGTCGTCGAGCTCTCCTGTTTTTTTATTTCACTTTGCTTACATTTCAAATAAAAGTACGTTAAACCAAATGCAATAACCGTCACAAGTTCGGTGTCCGCCATGCTTGGATGTATATTGCAGACTGACGCATTCACAAGCGTATAAACGCCTTTCAAACGCCAAACGAGATTTGTGGAGGCTTGGGACTGTTTGCAGTTTGCCAAGGCTTGGCAAGCGTGTAAACGTACCATAATATCTTCGCAACCAATTTACCGATTTCAATGATTTAAAAGTATTGTACCTAATCAAGTAAAAGGAACACCATTATATAGATAATATATGCATTTTCCGACTTGATACGGGGACCCATTGACACTGAAGAGTTAATATCTTTTATTTTATCAAAACCGGCTATATGGGACAGTAAAAACGTACACCATAAAAACAAAACAGTTATAAGTAAGTGTCGGAAAGAAATAAAACGCCATTTCGGGAATGTTGAAGGTAAGTGTAATTTTCATGTTATAAATTGTTATTTACAAAATTCTCTTTAAATTTTTCACTTACATTTATTGCTAGATTTCCCGCGTGCTTGTTTCTGCGATGTCGGCGAGTTTCATTCACATTTGTGGTTATGTTATTTGAGGTTATGTTTGAGTAATGATAATCGTTGGAGCCATCTTGATCAATTATAATATTATGCAATAATCACGTGGTTATAATTATTGGGCGAGCGTGTTTGCAATCAGTTTCTATGGCTTTATTTAAAATTCTCCACTTGGCATATAGTATACCGAATGCACATTCAACGCATTTTCTCGCTCTTGATAATCTTTTATTTAATATTTCATTCTGAGGATTCAGTACGCTTTGTGGATATGGTCGCATCAAATATTGTTTTAGAGGATACGCTTAGACGCCTATTATTACCATAGGTAAAACTATTTCTGTTCCTGCCAATGTCCATGGGAGAGGCATATTCATTCTATTAATTTCTAATGCTTTGTTAACATTTGAATAATGAAAGGAGCCACCATCACTCTGTCTTCCTCGCCCTCCACCTTCTACGACCAAAAATCTTTTGTCAGCATCAACCAACGCTTGAAGATGCATTGAAAAAAAAAATGCTTGTAGTTATAGTAGGATGAACCCGCATGTGGGGGATTTTTTTTTATATCATTTATTCGCCGGAAACAAGTCCATAGGGTTACAAACATACAATAAAAACAGAAATAAACTAAACTAAAATAATTACAGATAAAAACACAACAACATTAAATTTGTTCCACAGTAGTGGTTATAAAATTAAATAAACACTTATATAGTTTTTGGTTTGCTAAAATATCTTGAGCCAGCGGCCGGGCGGCGGGCGACTGACGACGCGCGATCGGCGCGCGTGCTGCTGGGAGCGGGACGGGCGGGAGGCGAACGAACGCATTTCGCGAGTCTTTTGTTTTACGAAGTTCATTTTGCGATGTGTCGTGTACGTTAGCGTGCGTTATTGTAATCTCATTTGAAAATAGTTAGTTACGTTTGAAGATAATAATGGAAAAGTGGTTAAAACGGGTAGCAAAAACTACCTTGCCGCCGCCAGTTGATTGCGAAAATAGTAGTGAAAATACAGATGATCTTTTGAGTGACAGAAGCGGCACTGAGTCTGACTTACAAATTCCTTCAACAAGTCGCGTCGAGTCAACGAAACGTCGGAAAGTGGTGAGAAAATATGACCCGGAATATCTGAAACTAGGATTTACTTGGAATCATGATACGACAGATCCGCGTCCTCAATGTGTGATTTGCTACGAAATATTAGCGAATGAAAGTATGCGCCCAAGTAAGCTGAGACGTCATTTAGAAACAAAGCATTCCCATTCTATAAACAAGCCAGTAGACTTTTTTCAAAAAAAATTGTTAGAAATGAAGTCTTCTAAAAACATTGTTTCTCATTTCATTAATATCAATGAAAATGCTGTATATGCATCATACCTCATTAGCTTAAGAATCGCTAGAGCAGGTAAGCCTCATACTATTGGCGAAGACTTAGTATTACCATCGATTAAAGATGCTGTTGGAGCGATGTTTGGAGAAAAAGAAGTAAAAGAAATCGAGCGCATACCACTATCGAATAATACTGTTGCGCGAAGAATTGACGAAATGGCTGAATGGACAGAAGATGAATTAATCCAGCGAATAATTAATAGTAAATATTATGCTCTGCAACTACGTATAGATGAGTCTACCGACGTGCCACCAAGGCCTATCTCAATTAATTGTTTTTGTGCGTTATATATTGCAAGAAGACGTGCATGAAGACATTTTGTTTTGCAAGCTAATTATTCGTGGAACAGCTGAGGTAATTTTCAACGTAATTGATTCCCATATAAAAGGAAAAGGTATACAGTGGAAGAACTGCGTCGGTATATGTACTGACGGTGCGCGGGCATTGTGCGGGAAACAAAGCAGCGTGGTTACAAGAATTCTTGAACAAAGTCCCTATGCTTCGTGGACACACTGTAGCCTTCATAGAGAAGCACTGGTTTCCAAAGCATTGCCTGATGATTTCAAAACCGTTCTAAATACAGCTGTTAAAATTGTTAATTATATTAAAACAAGACCCTTGCAAGCTCGCTTATTTCAAAAGCTGTGTGAAGAAATGGGTAGTCTTCATACATCTCTCCTGTTGCATACCGAAGTTCGTTGGTTATCCAGGGGAAAAGTACTGACACGATTAGTGGAATTACGCCATGAAGTTCTAATTTACTTGGAAGGAATAACTGAATATATTGAACATCTAACGGATGAAGAATTTATTCTCAAGCTCACATATTTAGCGGATATTTTTTCGAAGTTAAATGAACTCAATTTGTATTTGCAAGGTTCAAACGGATCAGATATTTTTGCAGTTCACGATAAAATTCGGGCGTTTATGAAAAAGCTTTTGCTGTGGAAGAGTTGTATTGAGAATGGGAAGTACGATTGTTTTGAAACAATTGAAACGTTTATTGTTGAAAACCAAGTGCAGCCAAAGATGAACGTAGTATTTGCAATTTCTGTACATTTATCATTGTTAAAAAAAAATGACGACTATTTCGGCGAGGAGATGAAAAAGCTCGACTTGATGAATTGGATTTGTAACCCATTTCAAGATCCCCTACCAACTGGTATGTCAACAAAAGCAAGAGAAGAACTAATTGATTTATCAGAAGATTCGTCACAAAAAAATAGTTTCAATCGTAAGCAATTAACGAAATTCTGGCTCTCGGTTGCTGGTAGTCATCCATGCCTGTTTGATGAAGCTATGAAAGTCCTCCTCCCCTTTACTACCTCATACTTATGTGATGCTGGGTTTTCGAATATGGTGAACATTAAAACTAAATACCGAAATAAATTGGACTTATCAAACTCACTGCGATTAAAAGTAACTAAAGTTGAAGTTGATGTCAAAACTGTAATGACGAAACATAGGAAACAATTTCATCCTTCCCATTAAATTTATATAATTAAGTAATAAAAGATTGTATTAAAACAGTTTGTTATTTCAAAAGTCCTTTATTAATATTGCTAACGCTTAAATTTCCTAGAGGTGGGTCCCAAGTTTGTAAACTTAAATCAGATGAGTCGTAGCCCAGTCAACTTTGTGAACCACTGCTATACACATTAAAATTGACCTTATAATTAAAACTGAAATTATGTAATGACAGTACACTTTTAGAGTCAGAAACTATTATTATTTCATTGTATTGTTCAATATTATTCAAGTTTTGTACATAAATAAGAGTTTGATAAATTGCATAATATGCTTCTGCTGTATAAATACTACAATTTTGATCCAACTTAAAACATTTAGATGTTTTATTTTGAGGGTCATAATAACCAGACTTTACAGAATTCATAGACTTTGACCCATCTGTGTACAAATATAAACTATTAGTTTTATTAGAACAATATTCTTTAAAATCTGTTTCATCTAGAATAAAACAAGTATCTACATTTAGTTTACATATTAATGCTTCATATTTACATTCATATACTGGCCATGACTGACTCTTGTGCATATTTCCAGACAAATCATTACAAAACCCATAATCCGGGTAATTAAAGGATATCTGTTGCCGAAACATAAGGAGTTGTTTGTAAAGATGATTGCAGAACCTCAGGTAAACAGATCCTAGTACTAACTATTTCATTATTTACTGCTAAGACTTTCAAACAGAATTTCTCTGTAGCAAATAAACGCCTTATACATAAAGGTTGTATACAAGTCTCTGCTTCCATATTATTTATAGGAGTTGTGCACATAGCACCGCTTATAATGCGCAGCGCCATATTTTGTATTACATCTAACTTTTTTAGTAAAACTGGACTTATGTTCATATATACAATTGCACTATAATCAAAGTGGCTGCGTTGTATAACATACTTAGGACTTTAGGGTCTGACCCCCAAAATGTACCAGCTAATGATCTCATAATATTTATACCCCTCATTGCATTTCTACAAATATAATTTATATGTTTTTCAAATTTTAATTTTGTATCAAAAATTACACCTAAAAACTTTTTTTCCTCTGTTTGTGGTAATTGGATATTATTATATTTAATATTTACAGACCTATTGCTACCAAATACTAAAACTGAACTTTTACTTGAGTTAATACTTAGCTTTAAATCATTTGAGTAATAAGAATTAAGCTTATCTAAAGCTAAATTAATGTTTCTTTGAGCAATCTGTACATTACTATTCACACAATACGTATATTAAAATATCATCAGCAAACTGTAATATTTTAACATCTTCAGGTAAAGGAGAATTTGTGAAGTATATAAATTGTATAATATTGGGGACAAGGAGGCACCTTGCATTAGACCTTTGTATGCATTTTTTGGGCCATGTAAAATATTATTACTTATTACTTAATGGCGGCGCGGGTTGTTACTATATAAAACTTTAAACCTATTAAACTAATTATTAGAATTGTTTATATTGTGGACTGTATTTTCTTTATACCTAATATGATTGCTCAATATTTGGACAAAATGGAAAAAAGAAAGAAAAGATGTCGGCACAGTACCTTCAACCTCGTGGCTTCTTCTCGTGGCTTCTCCTCGTGACTAAATTCCTTTATTGTACATCAATGAACAATCACTTTCACAAAAGTATAATCAAGTTAAAAGTTTAAGAGAATTTAAATATACATAGTTAAAAGTTTATAATAAAAATTAAATGTTTAAAGAAAGCGGTGCGAGCGTGCGGCGTACAAACGAACCATATCGCGGGTCATCAAAATTGTCACTAATAATTAATCCTTGTTGGAGACTCATCATCGTGCGCGCCACCTATAGCCCGTTCCGGAACTAGTACCTTCATAGGATTGGGACATAAAATAGGTGGGTGATGAGATATGCGTCTAGGAACTATTAGGATGGGTATATTGAGCAACCATTATTATAAAATAAGAATTCGGCGCAACCACTTCACATAATATAATGTACGACCAAACGAAAAGTTAAACAGCCACTTTATTAATTTTCCAGGTAGATTCAACGAATGTAGAACCATTGCCATTTGATGGAGATTGACATTGTCATAGGCTCCCTGCACATCAAGGAACACACACACTGCTGCTGACTTAGACAACAAACAGTTCTTCATATCTATCAGGTATGTAGTAAAACTTTTGACTGCACTTTATCCTTTCCTAAACCCAAACTGGCATGAAGGAATTATATTCTTATTTTCAACATAATAGTTTAGTCTTATTTTTATCATTTGCTCACATAACTTTCCTATACAAGAGGCTAAAGAGATAGGTCTATATGAATTAGGATCATCATCCGGTTTATCTGGTTTCAGTATAGGTATAACACACTGAGTTTTCCATGACTCTGGAATCAGTTGTTGTGACCATAGTGAGTTTAGGATCTGTAATATACTATTTTTAGCTGATATGTGTAACTTTTGTAACATAATATATGGAAAACTGTCTAATCCTGGAGTAGTGTTCTTTCTTAAAGCCAATGCTATATTAAATTCCTCATCTGTAAATGGTTGTAACAAAAAAAATTGTTGTATCATCATTACTATCTGAGTTAAAGATATACTCTAAATCTATATTAGTAGCATTATTTGCAGGTTGTGCCAATTTGTCTATAAAATTACCAATCCATTCGTCATTCTTAGATATATTTCTATTTGTATTTATTCTTTTAAATCTCCGTATATAGTTTCACACTCTAGAAATTGGTGTATATCTATTAAAAGATGAACATAACTTTTTTCAACTTGAGCTTTTAGCTTCTTTAATAATCATTTTTTTCCTAGCATTTAATCTTTTGTAGTCAATATAATTTTCAATTGTCATATCATTCCTATACTTAGCTAACGCATCTTTTGACTTATTTACAGCTTCAGCACAGTCCTCGCTCCACCACGGAGCCGGAGCCCTACATGTTTTAGCAGCATGACACCTATACACAGGTACACACACATTCCTTAAAATATTAATTATTTTACACATTTCATCATATTTTTGTAACGGACTATCTGAATTAGAATTAAAATCTGTAAACAAAGCCTCTGATAAGTTGTGGTAGCTTTCCCAGTTTGTTTTATTAAATAAAAATTTATCAATGTCATCATTTACTTGATAGTTCGTAGTAGATACAATAATGTCTGTAAAGGTCTGTAGATGATAGCTACCCATAGCATCATCACCCACGCGCCACTCACATAATGGAGCAAGGTCTGGGCTGACACAAGTCACGTCTATAACTGATGCATTACATCCAGGTCTACCGACAGTGGTCGGTGCACCAGTATTTAGTAAACATAAGTTGCACTCATCAAATAGGTCAAGTAATTCCCTACCTCTAGGGTTAGTAATTTCACATCCGAAAGTAACATGATGTGCATTTAAGTCACCAGATACTATACAAGGTTTCGGTAGTTGTTTTACAATGTTTCTTAGCTTATTTATCTTATTATTTATTTTATATTATTTATTTTAATGGGACAAAACTTAGATATAGCTAGGTGGTCCCCACCACAGTTGCAACACTTCAAGATGTCTGATGTGCACTCCTTGTAGGAATGTGCACCTGAACATCTTGAACATACGTCATCATTTCGACATATTGCCTATGCCTAAACTTCATGCATATGCCTAAACTTCATGCACTTGAAGCATTGCATCAGTGGTGGCACATAAGTGTATACCCTGTACCTCCACTTGTCCAGAAAAACATATTGTGGGAGGGAAGTGCCTACAAATGTTACACTCACCGTAGTGAGAGGGACTATTTCCTGACCTACTTTCTTGGTGAACCGTCTCACAGCTATAATTTCGGCATCCGCCATCAGTTTTTCATACAGTTCTGCATTGCTCGACTCCTTGTCGACGAATCTAATAGTGCCGGTTCTCTCCGCCGACGCTGCTGGTATGTACGCCTTCAACTTGTTTTCCTTAAGACAACTATGGCTTAGGAAGTCATTTGCTGCTACCGCCTGTATGAAGACTACCATTATTTTACTACGCTTTTCAACTATGTCCTTTACATTTTTGAAAAATTTCGAGAGATATAAGGGGTTTTTGTTCCCAATTTTCTCATTAATGCCTTCAACATAGATCGGGAATTCCTCCTTAGAGCTGTTGTCCGGGTATGACCTCTTATATTCAGGTATAAAGTAGGGTTTGTACGTATCATCCGGTGACGAAGACGCCGCTGGAAGCTGCTCCTTCATTTTTCGCTTCTTTGTTGTCCGCGGTGTCGCCATACACCCATCGTCATCTCCTCCGCTCTCCGGCTCCATTACGACTAGTCCCAGCTTGGTATTTCGTTAGTTTACCAACTTATTTGAATTTATTGAAAAAATTGTTTAAAAAAGTTCCCGCCAAAAAAGGAAGTCGGGGGATTTTTTATTCCACAATGTTTGCCATCAATGGCTCCTACACAATTAGGAAATTGCCATTTATCAAAATATTTATCAGCAACGTTATTTAAAATATGTGTAGTAGGTACTGGCAGATGTGATTGTTGAAGATTTTCCCAAATCGCACTATTTTTGAACAGTTTTGGAAATCTTAGACGAAAGGAAAACGCTAATCCTCGAATTAAATACTACTAGCTGTTTCTAATTCTACGTACAAATCTTTCCTCTTTATAATAACTTGCTGTAAACAACGTCTGACGTGGGTAGTGTAAACACGCATTGATGTATCTCTGTATATGTATTAAAAATAGTTTCTTAACTCAAATTATATTACTTACACTGTTAGTAGTGATGTACTAGTGTTGTATTGCATATGAATCGCTAATTTTTCCTTAATTATATCCTTCAAATAACAATAATTATCCCAAAGTAGAATTTTCTTGTTGTAAACTACCTTCATCTTTTATTTCTCAACAACCTATTTAATTATTATGGAAGAACTAAAAAAGTCATTGATGGATGTGTCTGTAATGGTGTCCTCCAAAATGGATGAGTTCCAGCAGCGGCTCCTGGCAGCACAGGAAAGGTCTCCATCCCTCGAGCAAACACCACTAACTAGGGAGTTTGAGGCATTCAAAAGCTCAGTACTGTTCTGTCTCAAGAATCTCCAGGCTCAAATGGAAATTCTTTTTAAGGTGCAAGAGGAGCAGGAAATGCGCAGCAGGCGTAAGTGTTTGTTGTTACATGGCATTAATGAGTCTAAGGATGAGAACCCAGGGACAATTGCTAACATGTTATCCGTTCTGCTCAAATGCCCTAATATAAGTGAAGCTAGTTTTAGTCGGTGTCACAGAGTGGGCATAAGACGTGATGATAAGCCGCGCCCTGTACTAATTAAGCTAAGGGAACATTGTGACAAGGACAAAATTTGGTTGGCTAAAATGTCTGGTTTAAAGGGGACCGGCATCACCATATCCGAGTTTCTGACCAAAGCCAGGCATAATGTGTTTATGGCTGCAAGAAGGCATTTCGGAATCAGCAAGTGTTGGACCAGGAATGGCCACATATATGTTATTGGGGCTAACGGTGAGCGTCGCCGTGTCAATTCAATGAAAGATGTTGATACGGCTCCTGCAAGCATTCCACCATCTACTAACGATTCTAAGGTAACATCACCCAAGTTAGTCTCGAATCAGGAAGATCGCAAAGAACTGATTACGAGTGGGTTACTTCAACTTCATATTATGTTTTGTTACTTGCTGAACTGCACACTTAGCATAACATGGACTTAACATAACATGGAGTGTTCGTGTATGCGTCGCAACGTTCAGACGTGTCGCCGCTCGAGTATATAGCTGAGGACAATGGCCTCTGACATTGTGAAGTATTAGCGTTCTTGCGAAATGTGTTGGATTTCATGGATGAGGATAGTATCCCTCAATTGTGTGCTTCTTCGTAAACGTAGTGGTGACCAAGCTTCACGACAAGATATGCGAACTTTATAAAGAAATTCTGCTACGGTATCTTAGCCACGGGTACGTTATGGGAAGAGAGCTTATTCAAGTCAACCCAGAAAATGATCAGTTCCAATTGACGGACAACCAAATGTACATTGGAGTTAAAAAATAGCGTCATTTAAGTCAAACTGCAGATCATTTCTAAAGGTAACGTAATTTATTTTGTCGGTATGGAATAAGTACTTTATAGGTTACTGTGTCATACATGTTATTTTTATTTTCAGACTGCTGCTTTGGAGATTCGCAAAAGATATGACATGGAAGATCCAGTACTTTCTAAGTTAAAAGTTTTTGAACCAAAGTCAGCCTTGTCCATCAACTTCAGAAACCGTTTCCCAACCCTGATGCCAGTTATGGCGGTTGTACCTCGCATTGTATCACCTTCCGATAACATCTCCAAACAAGAAATTGGTGACCAATGGAGAAGACTGCCTATAGCCACGGCTTGTCATCCTGAAGGCATTTGTGATGTAAGTGAGCCGGACAAGTTTTGGGCCCTATTATCAAAGACGGAGTTTAATGAATTGGCCATCTTTGCATTAGCAGTATTATCTGTTCCACACGCTAACGCCGACTGTGAACGTGTGTTCAGTAAGACTAACCTTATCAAGACCAAATTGAGAAATAGGCTGATAACTGAAACGGTCAATGGCACATTGCTTGCGGCAGAATGCGTAAAGGGACCTGACCGCAGTGTTCTTGCGTTAAATTTGAGCCGACACATTTTATGCTCAGCAGAATGAACGCTGAAAACTTGTATGGAAAAAAAAGACAGCCACACAGGAAAATGATACAGATGATGCTCCAGATGATATAATATTTGACTATTCAGTGCATCAGCTGTAGTTTTTCTGTGCTATTAATAGCACAGAAAAACTACGTTAATCAATTTATCTAAAAATGTAACTAAATTAATAATTTGATTACATTTTTAGATACATTGATTGTGATTTATCTACTACAATAAATACATTAAGTATTCATAATAAGTATGTTAAGTACATAATATGTTTTGTTTCGTACAACATGTATGTTTCGCTTTGTTTTGCTCTCTGTTGCATTGTTTTTTAATGAAAAAATATAGTTCATTTTGATATTATGTCTATCTTTTATTAATAATAACTAATCTTGTTTTACAATAAAAATTTGGTAGTAAATTAATGGTATAATGCATATTTTTTTTATGGTTTAATGATGTGTACGAGGTTGTGTTGCCAAAGTACGAGATTTTGGACCATGTCGTGTACGAGGACAAGCCATCGACGTCTGGCAACCCTGCAGACAAGTCAGTGCGTGGTAAGTCACCGACTCTGCGTTGTAGAGTGACCACGTTTTTTTCGTTGGCGATAAAAATGAAGCTTAGCGAAGACGAAACCCTAAAATTGGTGCAATTATATGGCGAAAACGAGTGCCTTTGGGATATTAAATCCCTAAATTACCGCAATAAAGAAATGCGGTCAACAGCGTTGCAAAATATGGCTCAACAAATGCAAATCGAAGGGCTCACTTCTACTGAAGTAAAAAATAAAATTAAAGCCATAATATTATTTAGAGCTCGACAAGATACAAAAATCCACCAGATCTGGCGCTAGTGGGAACGTATATGTCCCAAAAGTCAAGTGGTTTCAAGAACTGCACGGCTTTATACGCCAGAGGTTGCCGAGCCTGCCCACTAGCAACAGCTCTTTAGGATTTCATCCTTCCGATCGATCAACGAACCCCACATTTGTAAACCCCAGGCAGGTTATTATTACACCCTCAGTTTTGAATTACAGCACCACGATCAACGAAGAAGCTGAAAGTGAAAATAACACTGCTGTTAACACGATTATGCGTGCCTATGAAAATTCTTAATACTATTTTGATGTTGTATTTCTTAATTTTCTAATAATTTAATAATAAAAAATTTCTTACCTTAATATGTGTTTTTAGTGCCGTATATATTGCCCAACACACTTCTGGTATTAGTTGAGAAATTGCTGGTTTTGAGACATGATAAAAGTGACTAAGGAATCGATAGTACAGTGGTAAAGCATCTCTCATGAATGTATCATATCGTTGAATAGAGCTCGATATCAGTGACAGCAATTCGTCAAAATTCTGTGGTGACATCTTCATAGCCAGTTTGTACTCCGCAGGATCTTCAAATCGCAATTGCTTCAGCAACAAAGCAGAGCCACCAGTTTCGTTTCTATCGTCAATCCATTTTCTTACCCATTGTCGTTTATTTTTAGTTATCTCATTTTCTACCATTTCTATTAGCTCATTCAACAGCAAAATTGATAAATTTTTCAACAAATAATGAAATCGTCGTTTCAATTGTTTTCGCGAATTCATTTTTCCCACTGACTTCACACACGTGTGCTCATCGTGAGAAACGCACCACTACTACTAAGAGCTGATTTACACAGGGTCAGTAACTGACTTCAAATTCGAGGCAAGTCAGTGCTGACCCGAAAAAAACCCCGTGTAAACTGATTTGAAGTCAGTACAGTGGCTTGAAGTCAGCGCTGACTTGAATATTCGGACACGAATATTTTAAAGTCAGTTGGCGCCCCCCGCCACCCGCGCACCCCCGCGCCAGCCAAATAAACCCCGTGTAAACAGACAAGTCAGTGCGTGGTTAGTCACTGCCGCTACGTTGTAGAGTGACCACGTTTTTTTCGCTGGCGATAAAAATGAAGCTTTAGCGAAGACGAAACATTAAAATTGGTGCAATTATATGGCGAAAACGAGTGCCTTTGGGATATTAAATCCCTAAATTACCGCAATAAAGAAATGCGGTCAACAGCGTTGCAAAATATTGCTCAACAAATGCAAATCGAAGGGCTTAATTCTACTGAAGTAAAAAATAAAATTAAAGCCATAAGGGCTACATATTATTTAGAGCTCGACAAGATACAAAAATCCACCAGATCTGGCGCTAGTGGGAACGTATATGTCCCAAAAGTCAAGTGGTTTCAAGAACTGGACGGCTTTATAAAAAATGCTATTGTAAAAAGAAAAACAATGGTAAGCATTTATTGTAACTTATGTATTTTATTTCCATCCTAGGTACCTATACAAAATTAATGAATTCTATCCAATTGCCATGGCACACTTCCAGCAGTCATAAAGAAGTTCCTATATAGGTCTCTTTTTTCTTTAGCAGTCATGGAATGGTTGCCTCTTTGTTGTTCTGAAATGCTTAGTAGTGGATTTATTTCCGATCTCCATGTTCCTTCTATTATTTGTCCATCATTGTCCTCTCTGTCTACACAATTAGATGTTATGTAGGAACTTGAACGCTTTCGCAACCAATTATGCAGGGCACAGGCTGCACAGACAATGGCATCAACTGTGTCCAAATGGGTTGGAATTGCTTTTTCGAACACTCGGAACCTAGAAACCAGTATACCAAAAGCATTTTCACTTATGCGCCTTGTACGCGACAACCTGTAGTTAAAGACTTTTTCGGCAGTACTTAGCTGCGTACCTGGATAGGGTTTTAGTAAATAATTCTTCAGTGGAAATGCTGCATCACCAACTATAACTCCATTTGTAGGAAGCAATCCATCTTCTAACCGACGATATAATGAGGAATTTTTGAAAACACCTCCATCAGAGGCGTTTCCATTCGCTCCAACGTCTATATATGAAAAACAATAGTCGTGGTCTACAAGTGCTAACAATACTGTACTATTGGTTTTTTTATAATTATAAAATTCACTTCCACTATTTGGAGGAGCTTTAATTATAATATGCTTCCCATCGATTGCTCCATAACATGAAGGGAAATTCCACTTGGTATTGAAACCGTCTTCAATAATTTTCCATTCTACCTCTCGTTCTGGAATCTGTAAACAAAAAAAAAAATACAACCTAAATACGTATTATCATCAACTAGTGATTTATTAAACATTACATTTTATTCTCATTAACAGGATAACTCAGGAACCAGCAACGATGACGCTGAGTTGGGTGAAGCTGAGGGTGTTGGTGACGGAGCTGAAAATATATCAAGATCTACTGAAAATAATGATAATTCTACTGAAACGCCAACTCAAGCCATCCAGACGCCAGTTCGAAATTCTGTGACAGCTCCCAATCAATCTGGGCCTCCGCGATCAAAACGCTCCAAAATATCTCAGATGGCCGCCATGATAAAGGACTTAAAAAGTGTGTCAAATGATGTTAATATGTCACCATCTGAAGAAGAGTCTGACGCTGATATTTTCGGTAAACATGTGGCGGCTCAACTAAAAAAACTGTCTGAAGAACAATCTGTTATTGCACAAGAAGAGATCCAAAAAATATTATCCAAAGCTAGATTGGCTGATATACAACAAAAGAAGTATACAAAAAATGCACAATCTTCATCCCCTAACTATTTTATCCCTAGTCCGGCAGCAACTACAACAAGCAGCACAAGTAGCATGGGATTTCACTACCTGGAGCCCAACCCAATGACTGCATCAAGCGACAACATCATAACATTTTACCCGCCAGAAGTTGTCGAGCCTGCCACTAGCAACAGCTCTTTAGGATTTCATCCTTCCGATCGATCAACGATCACCCTCAATTTTGAATTACAGCACCACGATCAACAAAGAAGCTGAAAGTGAAAATAACACTGCTGTTAACACGATTATGCGTGCCTATGAAAATTCTTAATACTATATGATTTTGTATTTCTTAATTTTCTAATAATTTAATAATAAAAAATTTCTTACCTTAATATATGTTTTTAGTGCCGTATATATTGCCCAACAAACTTCTGGTATTAGTTGAGAAATTGCTGGTTTTGAGACGCGATAAAAGTGACTAAGGAACCGATAGTACATTCCTGAAGCCAAAAATGTCAGCGTTATTTCCAGTTTAATTTTGGCTGGTAAAGCATCTCTCATGAATGTATCATGTCGTTGAATAGAGCTCGAAATCATTGACAGCAATTCGTCAAAATTCTGTGGTGACATCCTCATAGCCAGTTTATACTCCGCAGGATCTTCAAATCGCAATTGCTTCAGCAACAAAGCAGAGCCACCAGTTTCGTTTCTATCGTCAATCCATTTTCTTACCCATTGTCGTTTATTTTTAGTTATCTCATTTTCTACCATTTCTATTAACTCATTCAACAGCAAAATTGATAAATTTTTCAACAAATAATTAAATCGTCGTTTCAGTTGTTTTCGCGAATTCATTTTTCCCACTGACGTCACAGACGTGTGCTCATCGTGAGAAACGCACCACTACTACTTACTTCATGTAAACAGTTAAAGTCAGTCGCGGCGCCGACATTGGCGCTGCGACTGACATGTCTACATACCCTGTGTAAATCAGCCATTACTTCATGTAAACAGTTAAAGTCAGTCGCGGCGCCGACATTGGCGCTGCGACTGACTTGTCTACTGACCCTGTTTAAATCAGCCATTACTCCTGCACCGAATAGTATTGACCTAAATATTAGGTCCTTACATATGAAATTGGCGTTTTTCGTACTAGCCACTTTAATCACGATGTTCTCCTCTTTGGTAAGGAATGCCAAATTCAAATTTGTACAGCTATTTACTCATGTGTGCTTCGATGACCGTCATTCATTTGTTTTTTTCTTCTGTTTTTTTGTGTTTGCGTCACTCATTTTACAAAATGGAAAACTTAAAGTATCGCATTATTTACGAGTACGAGTTCCGCCGTGGCACTAGTGCTGCGGAAACGACTCGAAGGGTGAATGATGTGTATGGCGGTCATGTTGCAAAAGAAAACACAGTTCATTTTTGGTTCCAACGTTTTCGTTCTGGAAATTTCGACCTGCAGAACAAGCCCCGTGGACGGCCTGAGACCCAAGTTGATAATGAAGTATTGAAGGCTATTGTGGAAGCGGATCCATCGCAAACCACGTCCGAGTTAGCTGCAGGCTGCGGTGTTAGTGATAAAACTGTTGTAATTCACTTGAAGCAAATTGGGAAGAATAAAAAGCTTGAAAGATGGGTACCTCACGAATTGACTGAAGCAAACCGGCAAACGCGCGTCGACTGCTGCGTTACATTACTGAACCGGCACAATAATGAAGGTATTTTAAACCGAATCATTACCTGTGATGAAAAATGGATTCTTTACGATAATCGTAAGCGCTCAGCGCAATGGTTGGATCCTGGCCAACCAGCCAAATCCTGCCTCAAGCGAAAATTAACCCCAAAAAAGTTACTTGTAAGCGTTTGGTGGACTAGTGCCGGTATTGTTCATTGCAGTTTTCTCAAATCTGGCCAAACTATTACGGCTGATGTCTATTGTCAGCAATTGCAAACCATGATGGAAAAGCTAGCGGCTAAACAACCTAGGCTGGTCAATCGCTCCACGCCACTGTTACTTCACGACAACGCTAGACCACACACTGCACAACATACGGCTACCAAATTAGAAGAGCTTCAATTGGAATGTCTAAGATATCCTCCGTACTCCCCGGACCTTGCTCCAACAGATTACCATTTTTTTGGTTCATACTTTGATTAATTAAATATATTATATTTAAAAATATTCGACTTTTTGTTCCTCCCATACAAAACGCCAATTTCATATGTAAGGACCTAATACAAACAGCTCGTTGCACGCGCCTGCGACGGATGTGCCTTCTGTGGCCATTAATTTGCGAGGTGAAGCGATGACTTCAAGTGATATGTCTACTGATATTCGGTATATACCAAACATGCTTTCTAAACATAAGAAGGATGGTCATAGTGGTAATACGGAATGGCAAATTGTGCGCGGTAAACGGGCTAAGCGTTATAAACTGTGCTTTGACTGCGAATAACGATAAGTTTAAGGCCGCGGACTTTAAGGTACCGTTGTTTATATCGAACGTGAGTACAGAAACGAGTGAAGAGGATATTTTTAGTTATATTAAGGCAAAAACTAATGAAACTGTTTCTTTAAAAAGAATAAATATAAAAACTACGAAATATAAGGTATTTGTTCCGAAACACAAATTGGATTTGTTTTTGAATGGCGAATTTTGGCCTAGCGGCGTAACGTTCAGACGTTTCGTCCAGTTTTTATATAAAACGAAACCTGGACCGGTTAAAGTTAATTAAATGTGTAATTATGAATAGGAATAACAAGATATATTGTAAATTTTGTACTTTTAATTGTAAATCTATCAAAAGATCGATTGATTGTGTTCGATCAATATGTAATGATTCGGATCTGGTAGCTTTACAGGAGACTTGGCTTCTTCCCCATGACATACCTATACTAGGGACTATTTCCAATAATTTCGATTATACAGGTAAGTCTGCAGTGGATACAACTGCCGGCTTATTGACTGGGAGACCTTATGGGGGAGTGGTGGATTCTCTGGAGAGTGGGTGTTTTTGGTACAGTTTCTGTTATTGATTGTAATAGTCCTAGGTTAGCAGCAATTCGTGCTACCATAGATAACCGATCTATTCTAGTTTTTTCTGTGTATATGCCTACTGACTCAATTTATAATTTACTGAGTTTACGGAGGTTCTTAGTGAAATAAGTGCTAGAAGTAAGTCATGATGTGGAAAGTGTATATATACTGGGTGATTTTAATGCACATCCTCAGGAATTATTCTATAGGGAACTGCTTAGCTTTTGCTCTGATCAGTCGTGGTTGTGTGCAGATGTTAAAAAACTCTTTGAGTAATTACACTTTCTTTAGTGAGGTTCATGGAACGAGACGATGGTTGGACCACTGCGTTGTATCCGTGTCGGCTTGGCATACCGTTATTAATGTAGAAATTAAAGAAAATGTGTATATGGGTCAAACTCATGCGCTAGTTCAGGTTGAGGATTGTTTAAAAATAATACTTTTTTTATGCTGATATATATTTTGATATATTATTCACAAATATTTCTTCATTTACGTTCGCTAAATATGGAATTATTTAGTTACTAATTTGTTGAAAAAAAAAATGTCTGTGGACTGTTCGTGAACGCGGTAAGCACATTTTGACAAATTCTGTTCTTAATTAACAAGTGTTATCTCATAATAAATATTAATTATCGATAATATGTATACTGAATGTTAAAATGTTACAAAGTTATTAAATATATATCTAGCTAAACCTACACAATTAGCAATAAACAGTTGGTTACGCAAAATCACGTCTTTTCTGTAGACCTAAAATTCAATCGATTTTATCGAGCTAACTCAAAATACTATTTCACAATTATTTTTTTGTACTGGCCACACTACACGGCTGGCGTTTGCCAGTTTGGATTGAGTGACTGAGCGCTCGTAGTTTATTATAACAGTTTTTGTAAATTTTACTGAGTTTTCATCAAAGATCAGTGAGTCTTTCCTGTTCCTGGTGTATATTAGTAAGTAATTAATGAATTTACCGATTAGCATGCAGCCATCGTTTCTTATTAGGAGTGGTTTCGAAATGTTTTAAATTGTTTGTATAACCTCAAAACTGATCGAGCAATGCTTACTTTTTTAATAAAAGTCCTTCCTGTGGACATCTTTTCTGTGGACTGAGAAGTCCACACGAGAGACATTGTCCAAAGAAAAGAGCAATATTTATTTGGAAAGTAACGATAGTGTATTCTTAATTTGTACAGGTAGACGTTGACTGCTGTGAACGTTTTTGAACATTTATTTACACGTGATTGTATGAAAACTTAGACATTTTAGAATTTATGTAATGGCTACCAAAGTGTCAATGTGTTTGCAAAAATAATATTGTAATTTATTAAGTTAACTATTGCAGTCCCTGTCTGCTTGTAAAAGAAAAGATATATACCTCTATAGGCATGAATTTGGGAAAATACAATTATTAATACTAAGTAGCAGGTTAGCCTGTACCTGCGATTTGTGTCTATAGTATGGTGAGGGTTGAAGCTTTACATGAAGTTAACATTTTTTTCAGGTCCATGATGCCTCGCTCTAGCAGATCCAGGTTTAAATTGAGCGAAGAAGAAAAGAAAAAAAGACGTCGTGAACAAAAAAAATTGAGTATGCGTAGAGCCAGATCAAAGTTAGACGCTGTTGCTCTTGAAGAAAGACGCAAAAAAGATAGAGAAAGATACCATCGCAAGAAAGAAGGTCTTATAAAAACAATCAAGGACTTTAGGCCCAGAGACCAGCGGCAGGTAAGGAAAATATGGCGAGAAAAGGCTAAACTTAGACGTGAGAAAGAAAAAATTAAGAAAACTACCGAACAAATAATACAAGAAAATACACCACCTTCAAGTCCTTGCCCATCGTCGAGTTCATCTTTTTCACGAATTTCTGTTGGAAAAGCAGTAGCTGCCCGGAATAAGCAGAAAATAGCAGACTAACTGCTGGTAAAAAAGAGACAATAACACGACGCAAAATAAAAAAACAAATACGTCTGTTAAATGACACAGTTCTCAACTTTCATAAAATATTTAAGAATAAAACTGGTTCAAACATTTCATACGAAACTTTCCGTCGCAATCGTCCTTTTTGGGTGATATTTCCAAAAGCATCTTCAAGAAACACATGTTTATGCTCTGTACACGAAAATAATGATTTTATTGCTCGTGCTTTAAGCCAAGCTAAGATAATACGTTATTCTACCGCTACTGATGTTGCCAGGGCTTTCTGCTGTAACAACACTCTCAGTGTTTCTTGCCTGGAAAGGACGTGTTTGCAATGCTCTGAGAATACAGTAAATTTTAATGTGATCAATGGCAATGATACAATTATTTACCAATGATGAATCACTAAAAAAGTATTAGAAGTCATTAAAGGAAAAGAAAAGCTATGCCAAAAAACTATTAAAGAGTCCGTTAAAACTACTCATCAATTACTCGTTAATATTTTGAAGACAAAATTACCTACATATTTTCAACATCTTGCAAATATAATAAACCAACACAGAGTTATTTGATCAATCAAACAAAACTTAACGCCAACAGATGGCTTACTTCATATTGATTTTTCAGAAAATTATTGCTGCAAATATGGATCAGAAATTCAATCAACCCATTTTGGCGGATCTAAAGCACAACTTTCACTTCATACATGTGTGTACTACTCGTCAAATAATCAGCCACCAACAAACCTTACACAAACCACATGTCTTTGCACTGTATCAGAAAACTTAAGACACGATCTCTATCAAATCTATGCCCCGACAGCGAACGCGAACAACGATGATATCGAAAAGTTCTATGCAGATCTAGCAAAAGCTCACGACTTAGCAGATATAAAATTAATAGTTATGGGAGACTTTGCACAAACTGGCAAGAGAAAGCAAAGGATAGATAGGTTTGGAATGAGATGGAGGAGGCATATACCCGGATGGGGTCAAGGCTTCAATAACTTTTACTAACATAGTTTAGGAAATATACTAACTCAAAATAGGTTGTAAACAAAACAAATTGTGTCTTGAATATGATGGCGCATTCCTAGCGCCATCTGTTAAGAAATACGTTGGAACGAGATTTGACCATTGTCAGTCTGGCGGAGCGTCGTGTCGATGGTCAGCGCGGCCATGTTGAATTTCGTTTAGTTTTCGAACGTCAACGGCGAGCGCACCACGTTTGCGACGAATCGCTTTTGTTCCGAGTAATCTTGTGCCTTGTTGTTCAAAAACTAATCAAAAGTGATTGATTAATTACTAGTGAATAGATTTTAGTGAATTGCTGTAAGGGAGATACTTTTTGCGATTCTTTTGTTCCTACCCACATTACAAATTATTGAAGACATGGCTGATTCTTATGATAAAGGGCATCCGCCCAGAAATAAATATGCTTTATTATTATTATTATTGTTGTTATAGAAAGATTTGCAACAAAATTCAAACGCAAATCAATCTGGCGAAAGTAAATCAGAAGATTATTATTACTTGATGAGTTTGTTACCACAAATGGAGTCATTTACTCCATTACTAAAATTTAATGTTAGGAATAGAATTAATCAAGTAATGATGGAAGAAATACATAATTCAATGTTTGGGGATCCATATAGAGGGAATTTTAGTTCTAGCTGGTCTCATGGGTATAGAACTCAAACACGCGAATAGTGATTTTTTGTACCTATCTTGATTATTCAATTAATAAACAAAAATATATTAACAATCTATCTTCTTTTATTTACCTACGTACCTTACTTGGTGTTAAAAATAGTTTTTGTTCAGGTGAGATTATACGATTTCCGAACATGTTAGATTCCAAATTACTTCTAATTTTCTGTAAAACATAATCGAATATCTCTATACTCATTCTTGTGTAACTGTAGAACGTTCTTGAATGACAACGTAGCTCGTAATAAAGTGTAGAAAATTCTCCCAAACTGCGACTTCGTTGATTTATTGGATGAACACCATCTCTAGGTAATAAAAATTCTCTCATTAGGAGCCTGGGCTCCAATAGTTCTCTGCTACGTAAATTCATGTTTATCACAACACTACGTGAGCGCGACTGCGCGAAAGTTTGTTTCGTACACACACAAGACACCGCTATCTCTTCGCCCCGCGCCGCACCGCCCCGCCGTACCCGCAGACTAACAAACAGTGATGTGTGTCAGGGTTGCCAGCATAAACTAGAGATGTACTCTTAATATGAGTTGTTAAACTAGGGTTCTTTTTTTAATAATTTGTGGCGAACAATAATATCACTCCTCTTTTCCACCGCGTCGGTGATTTTACCGCTATGTGTGACGACACGGGCGCGGTGGGTGGAGCCTGGAGCCAGTGGCAGCGCGACCAGCGAGCAGTGCGTTCAGAACTGTCAAAGGCGAAACCCGTGCGCGATTTACGAATTATCCCTTTTCTCTTATTGTGCTACAACTCATATCATTTATTAACTTTGTTCCTTCTGTGTACGTTGTAATAATTATATATACTTTAGACGTGAATAAGTTTATCCAGAATACCGTGTATTCGTGAGAGTCCACAGATGTTATTCGGAAGGCAGAATACCTGGCAGTGGCATTGGTGGTACGAGCTCCGGAAGACTAGCTAATATAAATACTCATGACATTGTGCTTGACGAAATTCAGCAAGACCCGTCGACCTCTGTTAAAACAATATCACGGCGTACTAGAATCCCGAAAACGACCGTGTATGACCGAAAATAAATAAATATCATCCTTACCACATTAGACGCGTCCAAGCTCTGCAACCGAGAGATTATAATTAAGATTGTGTGTAGTTTGCACCTGTATTTATAAGTATGATAATAACCATTAACTAAGTATACAAAATATTTTACTCACGTCAATGTCATTGGCAGACGTTCAAGAGGAGGAAACTATTTTCATCCTGCAGAAGTGGGCTATTCGTGCAATCTATAATTTACCTTCTTATATTGCCTCGCAAGTATGGAACCCACAATATGCCGTTTATAGCAATCGTATAGAACTAATTCAAAAGAATTTTATCAGACACCTCCAATATAAAGATAAGACTTTCCTGGCTGACTACTTAACAAGATGTAACCATTTCCACATACTTCCTCTCTCAGTTAGGCGTGAGATTGAAGATGTTACATATTTAATAAATTTAGCTACAGGTAAAGTTGACTGTCCTGAGCTACTAAGTAAGGTGTGTCTTCGTGCGTATAATAGGACGCTAAAAAATATGCACCTATTGTACACACCTAAAGTTAACACCAATTACAGATGGAACTGCTTTATGGTTAGGGCGGCGAGTAAGTTTAATAGTTTAACTTGTGATATTGACCTATTCGCCTCAAGTGTTGTGTCGGCAAGGAGAGCTATGACATCTGAGCTCCTCAGTGGAATGAATGATGAACCATAAGTTTTATAAGTGTATTAGTTATACTAAACTGTTAAGTGTTACTTAACCAATTTTTACTTTGTTTATTACTTTCTTTGATATATATTTATATACGAGGGGTGATCCAAAAGTAATAATAATCGGTTATTTGTAGAGCATATAAAAATAAAAATAAATTGTTTTAGCTTCCTCATATATATATACTGATGCCAAATAGTAAGTAATGCCTATAAGCTATTTGTTCCGAGAAATAAATTGGATTTATTTTTGAATGACGAATTTTGGCATAACGTTCAGACATTTCGTTCAGTTTTTATATAAATCGAAATCTAGCCATATTGGTGTCGAAAAGTATTCTACATACACTACCGCTTTTGCGTAATTGTATTGTCGAAAACGCTTCGTTCGTAGCCAAGAGGCATGTCGATACATTACCGCAAAGTCGACAGCGTAGGTGCGAGCTGCTGTTCGTAGCCCCTTATTCCGTCATATTGTCTCTGGATTAATTGTATTCCTAATGTCACATTTATAAACCGAATAAAAGTTAAAACTTTACAAGATTATAGTAAATTTGCAACAGGAAGTTTCAAAAGGAACGAAATTAGAATGTGAGCAAGGTCGGAATAATTTTCGATTTAAGTGGAATTTAAGGAAGCTGCAAAGTGGCATTATATATGAATTTTAATTGCATGTTAAAATTAATTATGGTTTGTTTCATGTTCTCTCAGAAATTTAAGGCTACAAATAAATAAAATATTTTGAAATTGCATAATCGCGATACATAATAATTAGTAGTACCTACTCATACTTTGATATTTTTAGGATTTGACCTCACAACTATTGTGCAAAATGAAAAAACAAAATATTTTGTTACCGCTTTAAAGATACACTAGAAATCGTACTGCGGGTTGATAAATAAAGAGTGAAAAGAAGGTGCTCCAACATGTTAGATATTTAAAATTTAACTTTGATGCTGATTTTAAGTTATTAATATTTATGTCAATTAACTTATGTTTATATCAGTGATTTTCTACAAGTTAATATGTAAATGCAAAATCTGTAAAAGTAAGAAATGAATAAAAATTGTGTTATGTATGACTAAATGTCAGTAATTCCCAAGGGACTTAAATTCAAACTTCTCATTCATTAACAATATGATGCAGCCTACTTTAATATGCGAAAAGCATTCGACACGGTCGATAATGATGTGCTCTTGCAGAAATTAGCAAAAGTTGGCTTCAATACGTCATTGATTCTGTTTATGGCAAGTCACATGACAGATAGGGAGCAGTATGTGGAATATGATGGCATTAAATCTAGCAAATATTACACTTGGTCTGGCGTGACACAGGGGAGCAATTTAGGACCTTTAGAATCTTTGTTAATGGTAAATGATTTACCAGGGGTAGTAGAAGAGGCAAAATGTTTGATGTTCGCGGATGATCTTAAATTATCACGGCCGGTTAATAGCGCGGAAGATTGTCTACGATTACTGCAGGATATTGATCGGGTTATTAGTTCAGGAAAAATCGACTGCAGATTAATTCTGCAAAATGTGCTGTTATTTCTTTTTCCAGAGCACGGACACCGATTCTCTATAATTATAACATTGCGAAACAGCCAATTCCAAGAGTAGCCGAAGTAAAAGACTTACGGGTTCATTTAAAAGTGGAATTAAATTTTCGGGATAACATAAAAATAATTTGTAGAAAAGCTTATAGGAATTTAGGGTTTATTTTGCGTATGGCCATAGGTTTTTCAAATATAAAAGCGGCAATGGCATTGTATAATGCACTTGTTAGGAGCCACTTGGAATGTGACTATGATTTGGGCCTCACAAGAAAAAAAATATTGCCTAATGGTGTATAGTATTCAAAATATCCTGTGGTATCTCTAAATAAAGCCAACGACTTTTTTACAAACATAGGCAATAGTTTAGCAGAAAGGACTATCACATACTTACACACATCTGAGGAACAACTAGCAAAAAATATAGATAAGCCATCCAATCCAAACTCATTTTTCTTACATCCAACAGACGAAGAGGAAATACGTGCAACTATCAACAAACTTAAGGGCAACTCAGCTGGAGGTTGGGACAACAGGAAGCGAACTGATAATCAGACTAAAAAACATCCTAGCGGCTCCTATAACCTACCTTTGTAACCTAAGCATGTCGAATAGCACCTTTCCTGAAGCTTGGAAGCTAGCCAATGTAACCCCAATCTGGAAGTCAGGAAACAAAATGGAAGTCTCTAATTACAGACCAATATCCCTTCTTCCAGTCATAGCCAAGATCCTAGAACGAATAGTGAACAAGAGGCTGCTCTCATTTTTAGAAAAGCAAATGCCTACAACCAATTCGGGTTTAGAAAACAAAGATCTACTACAGACGTTATCAGCAATCTTACTGAGCATATAAGTGAGAAATTCAATGCATGGCATTTTTTTTTCATAGCCACATTCTAGAAGTTAGTGAGGTTAGTCAACATCTGGAGAAGCTCCTCTTTTATGAGGGAGTTCATAACCATCCCTCACAGGATTCCCCCTTCATATCCCTTAAATAATCATGATCTGGGATCTTTGTGAAGAAATTACCTCCGGACTGTTTTCACCAATTTCAGGGTTACTTTTAGAAACCTTCCACGACTATATGAGGACCTCTGGATATTCGGAGATTTCGTAGATTCTGATTTTATAATCACATTTGTCATCTCAAAGGACGCAGTCAACTTGCTGTATTTCACTAAGATCACACAAACCTTGATCCCCAAACTGAGGGAGTTGAAGGAGTTGTTGGTAAATGATGATTCATCCAATAAGGGGTTAAGAATGCAAGGAATACTAAAATTGAGAAGAGTTTATATGTTAAATCAAGAACTTAGGCACACCCTTAAATCGATATCTAAAGGAAACAATCTCCTTGCACCAGTATGTTGCTTACAAGATGCAGGTTGGGGTCAGGAGTATATAGGAAAAGTCGTTGAAATAAACATAGCATACGAGTGAGAACCCTTGCAGATGATAGGGCGACCTCACATTCCTAATAGACAGGATCCTCTAATATCCGGTCTAAGACTCTTCCAGTGCCCTACAATTACCAGGATGTATTAGTGGGAGGTGATGGTTCGGGAGGAATGACAAGCTGTCTATTAAGACTAAATCCTATATCGAGGGCTGTGTTCAATAGCTTGCTGGAGTTAGAGGGAGTGGAACTAAAGGGATCAACCCCATCTCCTCCATCTGCATTGGCTTGTACCCCTTAAATTAGTGGAAGATGTATCAACTTTAAAGATGTGTGGGAGAACCCAACGGACTTACGAAAATAAGAAACTTGGGCATATTTTGTTAAATTAAAAGCACGCACAATTGTTCACTGTTGTTGTTGTGATGGGGGTAGTGTATGTTGAATGTTCAACGAACTTTCAAGTTATATAAACCTTTACAGCGAGATATAGAGCACTGTTTTATTCAAGACTTACTCGTGGTAACATCTACGGTAAAAATTGATTCTCTAAAATAATTTTTAATATTCAAAGATGGACAGACCTCTATCTCCGATTTCGTTGAACGAAGAAGAAGGATTTGTGAAAATTGTGGCCTTGAACGATCAAGCCGAGGAAACGACGGAAAATTTGCAAGATCAGATGAATACCCAGTATGTATTGGATGTAAAGGAAACTCCAAAACCGAAAAAAACCAAAAGAAAACAATTGTTAATTCAAAAAAAGAAACAAATAAATGCGATGAAGAAACATCCTATGTGGAGATGGTTAGAAAATTCGTGGCAAAGCGATGTCACGATTCAAGCGATCAAACCATGGTTGACATTAGTAAACCAAAAATCGCTAGAAACAAAGAATATGACCCTATACCATGCGGGTCAAAGAATATCAAAGATAATGAAGGAATATATAAATTACCTCAAAGAAAACAAGATAACATTGACGAATTGTGGATTCGCGAATTTCGAGGAGTGGGCTTGCGAAGAAGGATTCTCCACGACATATGGGAAACTCCAAGCGATGGATTGGGACGACGTTTTGAACGAACTATTATTCACCCATTATTCGGACGCTATAATGGCATTGGAGAAACGTCGAGTGGAGCAAGAAATGGAAGAAATGGAGTTTTCATTATCGCCGAACATGAAAAACACCTCCATGTGGTTTATTTTGCGTATGTCCAAAGGTTTTACAAATATAAAAGCGGTAATGGCATTGTATAATGCACTTGTTAGGAGCCACATGGAATGTGACTCTATGAGATTAGTATAATTTAGTAGAACCATCACGTATTCGAACGTAATTGTGAAGTACTGTGCAAGCTTTGATGATATTCTCCGCGAAATTAATGTTTACATCTATCGGTCTATAGAATATTCGCCATTTATTGCTCATTATTCCGAACGTGCATTCGATATAGCGCCTTGCTCTTGATAATCTGTAATTGAAAGCTTTTTTTGTGAGTGTGAGTTGTGTTCCTCCATACAGGCACATAACATTCGAAATAATTCCAAATGCTTCATCGCCGACGAAAACGTGAGGCAGTTCTGTCGACATTTGATATGGGCTTCGGGTTAGGAATATTTGACTTATTATCTATCATTCGTTTAAAAAAATCAGAATGTTGAAAAATAGCAGAATTACTGGTTTTGCCGTAGGATCCGACATTAACGTATACAAAACAATAATTTGCATCAAAAACTGCTAGTAAGACTGATGAGAGGTTTTATAATTGAAAAATAGCGACCCTATATGTTCTGGCTGTATGTAGCTTAATATGTTTCCCGTCAATTGCACCAATACAATTTGGAATGTTAGCGTATTTTCTAAAACCTTCTTCTACTTCTTTCCACTATTCTGTTGTCATTTCAGGCATGAATGTACATTTTAATTTGATCCATAGTACTTTACAAACTTGTTCCACTATCTTTACAATTGTTGATTTTCCAAGACGGTATCCATAATGGTCTAAGGGTGAGATCTATAGTGCGCACTTGGACTTTGCTCAGACTTACCTTACGAAAAACTTTGCTTAGTGTACACTAAGGTTAAACTATGATTTCGTATTTATAGACATTTTAACGGTGAGATTAAGCTAAGCCCAAGCTAAGACAGAAAATGTCAAAATACAAATTGATGTTTCATTTCATGCAATACTTTGTTTATTATCCTTTAAAAAAGTTAACAATAACAAATATTTAAAAATCTAAAACGGTACACATATATCTTCAATTTATTGTTATTTATGTATTCATTTATTTTATTATTGCAATAACTAGAAATTCACAAGTAACCTTTAGAAAATGTATTAATTATTTAAAGATGACAATAATTTTATTACGTAGAACGGATCGCAATGTTTTGACAACAGCAACAGAGCACTTGTATCAACTATCAACAATTGAAAATTTTAAACCACTTTAATTTATTAAATTGATCTTTCTTCAAAACAACGACTGGCTTTGTGACTTGGACCTGGACCAATCTGGATCGTATACCTACTTAAGACCTACGCATTCCCGAAGCACTGTGACGTTTTGTGATTTGGCTTTGTTACATGGACCGCTTGGAAATATCAATATCGAAAGTGACATGATGGAGAGAGAGTTCTATCTTCAATAGAAAACATTGAAAGGGTAGGAACTGCAGCCGATATGAATCCACGAATGCCTAAAGTGTTGTATATGTTCGGAACTAATAAAACCAAAATCCTTCCATCCTGTACGGTGAGAATGAATTCAAAAGAAGGAACCGTATTTTGAAACACACGGTATTAAATGTGATCCTGACGCTGATCATTACAAACTTGCAACCTTATAACAACAGAGGATCGCCAAACCTACCGCAATTGCAAATACTTATTGCATTAAGGCATAAAAATGCAACTGGATGTTTTCAGGTAATATTGTGTTCATAAATATGTATGGTTTTTCAATTTGATATATTATACCTCTTCTCAAATGATTTCAAATAGTACATATGTTGAAGACTTTTGTCTTCTGACTTTCAGAAAAATAACATATATGTGACTAATAATACTTTATTGACATTACAGATGGTGTGTGGTGATCTGAACAGCATAAGCCAATCTACAGTCTGTTTAATTATAAATAAAGTCTCTGCAGAGTTGAGTAAATTACTTCCTAGATTTGTAAATTTTCCAAGAAATATGAACACAGCCAAAACGAAGTTTGAAGAATTAGGAAGATCTAAAGCTGCGTATAAATTAAGCGCGGCAGCCGCGCGAGCCAATGTTCGACCAGAGTTGACCTTCATTTGCCGCGCGAGCCAATATGAAGATATAAATTTAGTTGGACGTGACTGCCGCGCGGCAGGCGACCCATCGCGAACAGACCGCGGCGGAATGCGGATAGTCAGACCAGTTCACTCTTGTAAACCTGCGAGTATGGACGCGCGTGGTCGGGCGGCTGCCGCTTTCATTGTGATTCACCATCTTATTTGTAAAAAAAATAAAAGAAAAAGGCGTTGGTGGATGAAAAAGTTATATCTTAATAGATCGCTATATAGCGTGAAACTTCTGGAAGACATAAGATATGAAGCCGTTGAAGACACTATAAAAAATTTTACGCGAGTGTCAACTGCAGAGTTCGAATTAATAAAATCATTAATAGAACCAAGTGTTATGAAAATGAACACGCAATTTCGAGAGGCAATATCAGTTACTGAAAGATTAGCAATAACTTTAAGATTTCTGGCAACTGGAGACTCCTATACTAGCCTGCAATACCTTTTTCGAGTATCTAAACAGTCAATTTCAAGAATTGTTCCTGAAGTTTGCGATGCACTTTGCGATGCACTAAAAGACTGGGTAAAGGTGAGTAAATAAAATATGTAGTTTTCTTTAATAATTATGTTTATTTATTGATATATTTTTTATTATTATTTAGGGGAAAAAATCGTCCATAGGCAATGGCGTTGGTTCACGTTCAGCAGTAGTAGTGTCTGGAATCTGAGAAGACGGAGTCGAGGCCTGAGGAGACGGCGTTGAGGTGTAGTGTGACTGTGAAATTTGGGTACAACACCCATATTTTCCTAAGTCAGCTTCAAATATTACATTGTTAATAGCTTGCTTCACGTATATTAAAGTCCGTGAATCATATTTACGGAGCTCATTAGCAATGTGCTGGCCGTATGAAAAATATGGGTCAGCAGATGATGCAGCGGATTCAGTGAGAACCTGAAATGCTTTTTTCAGCATAGGGGAATCTTCTTCAGCGTTTGCCTTTTTCTTTTTCTTTACTCTCAGACTATCTGGAGCGTTCATAATGTCACTTGGTGGTTCTATTTCTTGTTCCATAGCAGAAGGTGTAATTGGTCCTGTATCATTATTTTGTGCAATTTGTGCTGTTGCCGACTATAAAAAAATACCAATGTTTAATTAATTGTTGCAGGTACCGGACTCAGAAGAAGAATGGTTCTAGATAGCACACGATTTCGAAAACAAATGGGACTTTCCTCATGCAGTAGGTGCATTGGATGGCAAACATGTAGTGTTTCAAGCACCTATAAACAGTGGCACAGAATTTTTCAACTACAAAAAGTTTTTTAGTTTAGTATTACTAGCTTTAGTCGATGCAGACTATTGTTTTACGTATGTAAATGTGGGCTGTCAAGGTAGACTATCTGATGGCGGTATTTTCAAAAATACAAACTTATACAAAAACTAGAAGAAAAATCTATGAGACTTCCTCCTCCATCCATTCTTCAAGTGCCCTATTCCTTCAAAGTACCATATTTGATTCTAGCTGACAAAGCTTTTGCTTTAAATGAATATACTATGAAACCATTTCCAGGAGATCTAGAAAGGGGTTCCGAGGAAAGAATCTTTAATTACAGGTTATCTCGAGCACGTAGGTGTGTGGAAAATGCATTAGGGATTCTAAGCTCAGTTTTTAGAGTTCTACGCAAACCTATGTTACTACAACCAAAGATTGCTACTAAAATTGTTTTAGCAACAATACATTTGCATAATTATTTGAGAAAAAGAACTCTGACAAGATCACAGTACACGCCGCAAGGATGTATAGATAGTGAAGGAAAAGAGGGGCAAATTATACCTGGAACATGGAGAAATGAAACTGCCCCTACATCACTACTGCCTCTTAACTATATCCCAAGAAGAGCGGGAAATTTTGCACAACAAATACGTTCACACCTAGCCCATCACTTTGTTACCAATGGTGCAATATCTTGGCAAAATAGATATTAAAACTTGTACTCACATTTTCAGACATTGTGTCCAATGTTTCATTGGGTAGATCTTTATCCCTCATGAAATTAAAGTCATCGAAAGCAAACCACTTCGAAACGTAAACTTCATTTGTGGCTGTAATAAAAATAAAAATTATTCACGTAATTACAAAATGCGTTTTATTTTTTGTTGTAAATGCAAAATAAATAGGTTAAAGGTACACCGCCACAGGGACTAAACTTTTTAAATTTGTTTTAATTTTCTTTTTATTAATTATTAATTACTTTTATTATTTAAATTGTAAATACTGTTACATATAAATACATACCTAAACACAAAAGACCTAAGCTCAACACCAAATGCTCATCACATCGATGTTTCTCTCAGCCGGGGATCGAACCCGGGACCCATGGATTCGCAGTCAGGGGTACTAACCACTAGACCAATGAGCCGTCAAATTGTAGTTTTTTTTATTAACTTATGTGAAGTCACTCTTGTTAATTAATTATTGCTATAAATATTTTATTTACTTCATTATACGGTAAATAATTTTATTATGAATTTAGGATTTTAATGTAACGATATTAAATTTTACACATAAATTACAGAGATTATCTTTTCTTTAATCTATGCAAGTTTCGGGGTTCAAGTGCACAGGCGCTAATTAAAAATTTAAGTTGGCGCCTGGTAGATAGTAGTGGAGACCCCAGAGCTGGTCGTTGGCTCCAGAGCTGATGCTTTCCTCAACGAATAAGTATCGGAATACAGCGAGGAAATGCTTCTATTAAAATTACATTGAGACAGGAACCAAACTTAAAATTTACTTTAGTTTTGTCTCCTTAAATTTTTAATTATATTACTTTTTTGTTGTAAATGCAAAATAAATAGGTACTTACCAGAACCAGTACGACAACTTTTAGCTATTCTAGATTTTTCTCTTCTGTAGGACGCCAAAAGTGTAGTCATTTTCTTTTTCAAGTCAGGAATAGGTATATCCATTTTCTTACTGATTTCTATCCACGCATCATACCTCAGCGATTTATTGTGGTATTGGGTGGATTTGCTGTTCCACAAAAATTCTTTAGCGCTATACAATTGAATAAGTATACGGCACTTTTCGTTGTCCATTATTACGTATTCGCCGCGCGAGCCAAATCACCAAAACTTAAACCGTCCCAACTGCGCGCGCGCCAACGAGTGAAGCTCCTTTGATGCGGTCTCAAAAACCGACATCGAGCGGTTCGACCCGCGGCACGTTCGAGCGCGGCAATGTTCGAGTCGCCGCGCGCGGCGACCCCGTCTACATAGAGCGCGGCCGCCGCGCGCGCCAATGTTCGATGGTTTGCCGCGCTTAATGTATACGCAGCTTAATACTCACCATGGCCTAAACAGTATAATCGGAGCTATTGACTGCACCCATATAAAAATTAATAGACCCAAAGGTATCGCTCACTCTGAAGCATACAGAAATAAAAAGGGTATTTTTCTGTAAATGTGCAAGCAATAATAGGGCCTGATATAGAAATATTTGCTATAGTGACTAGGTGGCCTGGCAGTTCACACGACAGCAGGATATTTAGAAAATGCCTGTTTTAGTAGGTGACAGCGGTTATCCAGCACTTAACTTCATGTTAACAACACTTTTAAATCCAATGACAAGAGCTGACAATATTTATAATTATTCTCAAATAAGAACTAGGCATATTTTTTAAAGGTTTTTCGGAGTGTGAAAAAGGAAATTTCCATGTTTACAGCTAGGACTACAGTCAAAATTGACAAATACTAGTTATATATAATTATAGCTTGTGCTGTATTGCATAATATAGGTATACAGAGAGGCGATGCTTATGATGATGGTGATCTTGCTGACAGCAGAAGTTGAGTAACACAGAAACAATGAAAGATCTCCTACAGGTCTAGCATTCCGGCAATCTGTGATTGCACAATTTAAATAGGTAATTTGTTTGGTAATAAAGAATATCAAAACAAAACTTGTTTCATTTTAATCATTTATTTTCTGATTCTTTTTTTAAGTGTAATACATATTTCTAATACTAATTTATATTTTTGTTGAAGAAATTCAATTTCTAACAGATTTTTTAATTTCATATGTTCCACTCCTATCTCAAATTTTTTAGGGTAGTCAGGTAATAAATGGTAGAAGATTCAGGGAAACGAAAATAACAGATGTGAAGCGAGAGACATCGGTTAGGTTATAGTTTGAATTTCGTTGTCACTATAATATGCCAGGGCTGCCAGGTGACATACAAAATCACACCAGTTATTTTTAAGATTTCTCAAAAATGGGGTTTGAACAATTACATAAATAATATTAATAAACAACAATAAATACCATAATAATGTGTAATTATTTTATTTCATGCATTTCATAGGTATTTATCAAGATCATTTATAATTTCTTTGAATTCAAATTCTATTTTTCCCAAAGTCTATGGAACTCCGATACAAAATGGCAATACCGTTCATTAAAAACCGACAAAAATAAAAAGTCCAGTAAAAGATATGATGGTAAAGCAAATTTTGGGCCATTATTTTTGTTAGGCTTATAGTCAAAGTTGTTGGTAAGTCGTCGATTTCGTGGACTTGAGATTAAGCTAAGCCAACACTAGGGAGAGATTCGCAGTTTGCTCTATAAATACCGACTGTGTCTTAGCTCGATAGTTAAGTCAGAGCAAAGTCTAAGTGCGCACTATAGATCTCACCCTAAGATCCCGATATACAACGACCTTCACCGAGATGCTTATTTAATGAAACGTATTTTATATTTAATTTAATATGTCAATAAATATTATCCATATGGGTTGCCTAGCAAATTTCAGTCCTGAGTATTTTAATTAATATTTAAAAAAAAATATTTTTTTAAACATTTCACCGGTATGATTATTAGATAAATTCTATACCAATCGAAAGTATGAAGCCCATAGAATATGCAAACGTTAGGTTGTTTTTAATCAATTAATTATTTATGTGTATATTTTTTATGTGACACTAAAGTATATATACATCTTCAGTAAAAATGAAAGTTATAGTGATACATATATAATACTACCCTGATTAAAAATATTGATTGAAAAAAATTACTACATGAAAATTATAATTTTTTTTTTTTTTTTTAATATTAATTAAACATACTCTGGACTGAAATTTGCTAGGCAACCCATATGGATTATATTTATTGACATATTAAATTAATATAAAATATGTTTCATTAAATAAGCATCTCGGTGAAGGTCGTTGTATATCGGGATCTTATACTATAATGCAAATCAGCGAAGGAGCAGCCTGTGGTCAAGTATCTGTAAAATAAAAATGATTATTGTTTTTTTTAGGTTCTACACTTATGAAAAATTGGAAAAGCATTCGGGACAATAATATGAGAGAATCTAAGAGGAAAAAAAGCTTCCATCTGGAGCTGGATCTTCCAAACATACGCCATATGTGTAAGTAGTGTGGATTCCCGGGGACTGCCTCACCCGCTGCCTCAGTAAAAAAAGCTGTTTCGGAGGCAGCGCCCGCCTAAAAAAAAAAAGTTTGTACTCTACCCCCATTAAACAGGCCGTGTGGAGTCGGATACTCCCGAAGTGATAGCTCTAACCGTTCCAGAGATCGCTTTGCCAAAACCCTTGCTGATTACTTATCATTACCTTATCAGCTACTATTTCCTGCACGAAATTCCCACTCATTATCTAATTACTTAATGACTCAGTACGAATGCATCGTTATCTACTTTCCTACATTCACTAACCCAATCTATGGCTCTAAAATAAAAATAGAAAAAACTATATCTAACCTAACCTAACCTACGGGTCTAAGCAAACAACAATAAATATACCTAACCTACATTAACACCATTATATATAATAAAATTAGATGTAAGGGTTACATATTTAAATAAAACATTTTTATTCCAGTATTATTATTTTATTTATATGTCCATTATATTTCTATACAAATTTACTAGCACCGTATCATTGTTGTCTGAGTCACATGTAAAATTTCTAAGGAAGTCTTCTAATCTCATCCCCCTGAACTTGTAATATACGTATACCAAACAGTACACTCCGCACACCGCCGATAGATAATCCTAAACTGTAAGGCTATTGTACCTCCACATGCAACAATTCCTCCTTAAAAATCTTTCTTTTGCTTCAATAGGTTTACGTCCAAACGAATCAAAGTATTCCCCAACTCTTTCGACGTTTATATGAATAGCCACCCAATGAGACCCCGGCTGTGAATCAGGGTCAAGATTGCATATGATAAGTGCTGGCACCTGAGCATACATCGGCAATCGATTTGAAGGATATACGTTGCTCTGGAGGCTGGGATGTATTCTACGAAGACTCATTTGAACTTCTAGTGTGTTCATACTTTAATACGCGTTTACTCCCCTACTCTTTCACTCTTTTACTGACTACATTTATTACTATCAATTCATATTTGTACCAATGTATTTAAACACACATCATATGATCTCAACATAAGTAATGAGTCTTTTTATAAAAAAAGTAATAAAGGTAAATAAAAACCATGTCATATTCGTTTACATTATATTTTATTATTCTTAATATCATAATAATTACATAAGTGATTGCTTAACTACTATAATCCACACATACATTTCCGTTCTTATCTATTTCTATAATATTTGAAAACTCTGCGTAAACTACACAGTTGATTGTTTCAGTCAATGCGCTCTCGAACCTTACTTCCATTCTTACACTACCATGGCGAACAAGATTCCAATGCACATTTGAGTTAGCCGACAAGTCAGGTGTTAAATCAAAAGCTAGTAAACAGAATCCATTTGAATATTGCTCCCTCGATAATATATATAATACATCTCTTAGGAACCTGACCTTAAATATACTTCAAAAAGTAATGAAGGTAAATAAAAACCTGACACGGTTATCGTTTATATTGTCATATTCGTATATATATATTTTTTTTTGTTCTTAATATTATAATAATTATAGGTAAATGTGGTTGCTTAACTACTACATACATTTCTGTTCTTATCTATTTCAAAAATGTTTCAGACCATATAATTATTATAATGTATCTGATGAAGAAGAGGTTTTAAAACATAACAGAAAATAAAAATAAGAAGGTCAATCGTTTAGATGACTTTTTTTTTCAAGAACCTGACCGGAAGAAGAAAAAAACTAAACTTTCTTCAAGTGTTGGCCGTGCCGGGAATGAGGGAAGCATTTCATATATATCTATAATATAAAAATGAATCGCAAAATGTGTTGGTAAGCGCATAACTCAACAACGCCTGGACCAATTTGGCCAATTCTTTTTTTATAATATTCCTTGAAGTACGAGGATGGTTCTTACGGAGAGAAAAATTAAAAAAATTGAGTGAAAAAGTCTAAAAACAACACTTTTCTATATTCCCATACATAATATTCGTCATAATACTTAAGTCAATTTGAACTTTAATACCATATAATAAAGTGCAAGTGCCAGTGGAGGGGTTCCGGGAAGGTAAATTTTTTTTTTTTACTTAATGTATTTGTTGTCTTATCAACTTTCTTTTTTTTATCTTACTAGCTAGCTAGACCGGTATCCCGAATAAGTATTTAAAAAAAACAAAGAATCGACTGTTAGGCGGTACGATGTTCGCCAGGCCAGCTAGTCGACAGATAAAGATGGTGGCATGGACGCCGACATACTTGTGAAAATGGAATTATATAGTTTAAAAAAGTTGAAAGAAATCCCAGTGTCTAAACATTGGAAAAATGCAGATATTCGTGTTAAATATTACATGAAAAACGATTCCAATATTGATGTTCAGATAAAGGATATTGTATATAACATAACAAAGGGGATATCCGAGGAAGATAGTGTAAAACGTTACACTTTTAAAAATTAGTTTCATTTAGTTTCTTCATGCTTCAGATTTTAATATCGTATGTTTATATAATTAAGTAATGTTTCCGTTTTCTACTTTTTTCTAGTATAAATACTAAGGGTCCGTTCACACAGACCGGCTCGGAGAGGAGAGCAGATTTTTATCACGTTGGAAACAGTGTTTTGAGTGATTGTAGTAAAGTTTATTTTTGCATTTGCACCTTTTTTGTCATTAAAAATGCCTGAACGCG